AAGGTTCAGAATTTCTTTAGTTATCTGAATGGTGTGAAATTCCATTAAATATTTAGGAATGGTACATGTTTTAGTGCACACTCCATGTAGTCAACCTCTGAACAATTTACATGACTGAAAGTGTGTTAGTTCTGACATCACAGTTAGCCATAAGGTTAGGGTGATACCTAAAATCACCTTACTGTGAGATAAGCATCATAATGCTTTTGACAGAGGGAGGAGTGATGTTGGTTCAGCATTAGGGTGGTTAATCTTCTGGTGATCCAAGAATTGTCTGGATAATTTTGCAATAAGGATTGTTGACCCGATATATTTTTCACTCGAGTATACTGTATACAGTACTGTGCACATAAAACCTTGTTTTAACTCCATTCTGAACATTTTATGAGATACTGTATGGTTGTGAAAGGTTACAATTGCTAAGACTCGAAATTATTCGAGCCTTTTAACTCGTTCATATGCACTTACCCTTCACATACAAGATTCCAGGCACAGTAATTCCTTCACATGCATAATTCAAGGTAATAACAACCCCAGGCTTACTCGAGGCAGACAACCTTCACCCCCTAAAATACAGTATCCCAGTAATCAACATCCAGTCTTCAATAGCACTAAAGTGTTCTACACTACAAACCACGAGTCCTCTACACTGTATACTGTACATTGCTGCTCTTAGTTATACAGTATAATGTATCCAGTTTATTCCAACATATATAACCTACACTATAACACCGGTGAGTTGCAGTGCCACTTGGCTCTTGTTATTCTACACGAGTCAACTTTTGAATTTTAAGTCCATTTTGATTGGAAGTTGCTAATGAGCTGGGTCACCTGGTTAAACAGCCTACAGTTGTATACAACAGTTATTTTTCTTTTATCGATGATATACCGGGAACCTTAACTGCCACTCCCTTCATGATACAGTAGCAGGATCTCCAAACATTACTTCAAAAATCTTATCAGCTGGGGAAATTGTAACACTGATGTGGCCTGGACTTCAAGGACTGTTAAACTTCTACAGGTGCAGTATTCAAGTTGGTAAAGGATAAATGTCCCTAGTCAAGTTTTCTTTCACATGTTTTAATGAACAGAATACAGTACAAAGACAATTAAGATCAAGCCTCAGTACAGTATTAAACTTCCCAGGGTTATTAATATATACATACTGTATACTAAAATCCCGACGTGTCAATTTATTTTTCCCCATGCCCATCTTATTGTATGTTCAGTGCTAGGGGAACATTTCTGCTAAATTCATACAGGTCAATAAGGGCTTCCTGAAATGACTTCCCACGTTCACGACATATGGAAGTGTAATGGTATTTAGGGGATATTATACTAAAGGGAAACCTGTACCAGTTTCGGGGGATTTTAATCAGGGCAGGTTTAAATAGAATGTACCAGGGTACTTCTGTTATGTATCTTATGTTAATGCAAAAAAATTAATTACCAAGACAAGCATTAGTTGTTAATTCTGCCCCTTTTAGCTGAAAAAATCTAAGCAAACCATACCAACGTTTAAAATACCAAAACCCAATACTGTAGTTTGTAAATTCTCCAAAGGCAGAGACCATAGTACTGTATATGTATTTCATTTTGAATGCTCTAAATACATTTTCCCAAACATCAGATATAGTACCTATAAATAAGCAGTAAGTGCTTGTGCTGCAGGAGCTCCTCTGAGGTTCCAGCAACACAAACTGACCTGCCAACATGGTGGAATTTCCTTGGCCTAAACAGTGCCATATTTTTCCCTCCCAAGGCATCTACATTTTTTTTTTTTTCTCAAATATACAATTTTCTATGCTTCCATATTTAGTGAAAATTCCACAAAAATATGCCCCTAATACTAACCTTCAAGTTTTATTGCAATCTTCACTTAATCACATCACATAAGAGGAAAATTTATACCCTTAAATTAAATATGAATTCTTTAAAACAAATGTCCCTGAATATTGTGCATCATCTCTTCAAGCCCAGCTCACTACAAACAAAAATGTTATTACAGTACATGCAAGCTGCTTCTAACCACAATCATTTGCATAAACTTGTGCAAGCTTCTACCCTAACATGACTTTCAATCCAAAATTACAAATTCTTAAAATACCATTACAAAAATATCAAAAATTAAATGCAGGTACAACTTCATGCTACTATACAATGAAACTATGACAAGGAGCTAACTACAATTAATTTGTGATATTTAGCAAACCTATTTGCATCTAATATTGTATGAACTCCTTTCTATCAAGAAATCAGCAGATTGAGTAATGGCAATACCTGTTCGTGTTACTCTTACGAGTTTCTTTCCATAAATGTACAGTACCTGTACTGTACTTCCTTCTGCCACACCCATATATACAATACCATTTGCATAGACTAAACTTCCAGCAACCTTTCCTCACATTTCAAAGCTTCCAGCAGCTACATTGTTTACTGTTACCATATGCAAACCAACTATTTATGACATTGTAAGGACAACTTAATCCTTCAAACATAGGTTGGATGGATATATTGCCTTCAAACATAGGTTGGATGATATGAGTGATAGGGGATAGGCCTGCTGCAGTTTCCTCCATTCTTATGTTCTTACTCGTAATGTACCTCAAGAAAACTGCATAATAAGGCAAAGATTGCTTTAGTTTCCCCCCCCCTTTAAGAGATGTGAACTACCACATGTATTTGAAGCTGTTCACCAAATTTATTTGAAGCTACGTATTTTGATGCTTTATCTGTTGTCGACATGCAAATGTTTCCAAGTGACTTCCTACATACAAAACTTATCGTAAACGGTAAATTAGAGGACTTGCCCAAAATAAGATGAACCAACCAAACTTGCTCCAAATAAACAACAGTTAGGCATGATACGTTAAGTTCATCTTATCCGGTGTATTCATATAATGCACCACAATGTGAAAAATTACACTGGAATGGTTGTTTAAAGTTGAGTAACAAGTACACATTTCCATGTCAACAGATCAAGCAGAAAAGGGGTGTCAGCTGGAGTTCACGGACAAAAAAAAATGGTCACCGTAATACAGAATGGATATAGAATCCTTGGAAAGACTCCAGAGGAGAATGACAAGACTCATCCCGGGCATTAGGAACCTTGAATACAGAGACAGGTTAAAGCATCTTAATTTGCACTACCCCGAGAGACGTAGAGTGAGGGGCGACATGATAGAGGTGTATAAATGGAAGTCAGGGTTAAACAAAGGGGACATTACAAAGGTACTCAAACTAACCAACCAGGAGCGAACTCGTAACAATGGTTTTAAATTAGACAAATTTAGATTTCGGCGTGAAATAGGTAAACACTGGTTTGGAAACAGTAGTGGATGAATGGAACAAGTTACCAAATATCATTAACTCGAATACACTGGATAGCTTCAAACATAGGTTAGATGCTTATATGGGTAGTAGGGGTTGGGTATAAACGGGACTGCCCAGTATGGGTCAATAGGCCCGCTGCAGTTTCCTCCATTCTTATGTTCTTATCTTTTACAATTTCCTTAAGGCAAAGAAATGTGTTTATTTTACTTTTGAACAACACAGGAACCTTGGGAATTTCATCTTGGTTATCAACATTTTAGACAATTCTAAGACTTTTCTTCCGACTTCCCTCGCAAATGACTTCGCTATATATGCCAGGGATCAAGGGGAGAATGGCCCTCTGGTTAGGTTATGTAATTTTTAGGTCATTTGCGAGGGAAATGTCATTGTAGAAAGTCTTGGAATTGTCTAAACCATTGATTACAATAAAATTCCCGTGTAGTCCGAGTGTAAAACGATACCCAAAGAATGTTGTCTTCAATATTCAAAATCATGGTTTACATGAAAGCTCTTAAAAATTTTATTTGGGTAAAGGTAGGCAGGTTGGGCAACGGTTCATCGATTTCAGCAGTTGCTGAAAATGTTCACATTTTAAGGTAGGTGGCTGGTAGCAATTCTGTCAACATGAAGCTTAAAATCTGGTGATGGGCATAACTAAGAACAGTACCGTACATTTATTGTTAGAAAACCTGCAGGAAAATTGAAGATTGACCTTGTTCCACCTGATTTAGTTTAATCAATACTGTACAGTATAGGAAGTCTTTCATAGAATAGCAATAAAATTATGGGTGGTTAGGTATTATACAAATCCTGTCAATATGATTTATACAAGTAAATAAATACTTCTGTGCCCTTTAATTTCTTAGATTTACAGCCGTACAATGAAAAACGATATTTGGTCAGGATTTTAGAACTTGCATAAACCACGCCAGCCATCCCTACCATCCTTTTAGCATTTGTACAGATTCGGTGATCTACATCTTGACAAAAGTAAATTTAGCATTCAAATTTAAATGCTTTTTTTTTACTAACCAATTTAGCAATGAAATAGGTAATCAATTCATCAATGTCAATTTTATAGGAAATCCACATTACCTCATCCAATAAACTATACCCATTTCATAGTGGTTGAGAAATTGTGAGAAAATATAGACGTTTATCCACCCTAACTGCCCCGTCAACCTGCTCCCTTATTACATTAAAATATTACCACCTGCCACGCCTACACTAGTTAAGGTTCTTCATTTTGGGGAGACTAGCGTTGGAGAGATTGAAGTCAGGATTTTTAGAACATATACTAATGGTAAAAACGGGTGTGGAGGGTAAGAGAAGGGCGGGAAGTGAGGGGCGTCAGCTGTGATGGCGGCCTCTCCCACATCACATGGTTCTCTTTTTCACGCCCACCCGCCCGCGCCACGCCCACAAGTACTATTACCATCTACCTATGAACGTGCACTTTAAAATAACCCATAAAAGGTACCATAAGCACTCAACATATAGAGCAATAAGGTAATAGAAGGTAAAGATTGTATACCGGCATTCTCTCACTCGCCGGCTGCCACACCTACCTGTGTTTTCCCAGCTACTGTAATTCTACACAAAACAGTAACAACGAGTTTTAACAAGACATGATATCCAAGATACCAAAAAGAGCGGTTTGGTCTTACCTGTTTTATAAAATAGGTGCTATTTACACAAATATAAAGTATATCCCAGGGTAGAGTGACCCACTCACTACCAAACCCTCTTGACGACTGGAATCTTCCCGGTCTACGGGGTTCTCATTGGTCGCCCACGGACTCCTCCCTTCAAACGAGCTTCCCACTTTACTTTCGCTCATCGCCTTTTATATATAATTTGAGACTTATTTAATATATAATTACTAGTTTAAATATTTTTAAAACTTATTTCTAATCCTATGCATATGATTTTAAATTTTTATCAACGTGATTTACGATATTCCTATTAACCACATGTTATTGAATAATGAATTTACAAATTAGGTAACTTTAGTTATCAGAATAAGAAGATTTATATAAATGTGATTTATAACTAAATAAATAAAAATACATATAAACATATATTATGAAATAAGGTGTACAAACCACAAGAGCCACTGCGCATGCTCGCGAGGAAGCGCGAGATTTACTCTGGCCAGTTGCTTTATGTCTATTATTATGTCTGTTACCTACTGCTTTTCCTGATAACTAGTCTAATAAATGCCTATAGTTTCAAGATAGTGATGGGTTTAGATAAAATAATACAAAGAAGTCAGATTGTATAACTACTTGTTTATTATTGAACTGTTGAATTACCTCTTGGTTACACTTTATTAATTTAATTATTTATTTCACCTTCATGTTTATCAAGTTTCTTGTCCTAAAGCTTTAATAGAGTAAAAGTTTCTACCTGATCTGTAATTTTATTGACTACAGTGCAGTTAATGTCTAAGAATAAGATAAGAATAATCGAAGAACACCGATATTTTTCATAAATATATAAAACAAAAGCAAGTAGGTATGAATGAAGCTATTTGTTAACAATTTGCACTATTGTGAACTAGTATAACGAAAATGTACAATATATCCATCTGTGACTTTTGAGGAGAGTGTCACTATCAAAATATTTACAACCATTAACAATATTACCGTTAATCCTCCAGTTAACGACAGAATACATCTTGCCTCTACAGGGTATATCCTCTCATTCCCAGAAGCCTACTGCCTCTCTTTACTCCAACATAAGACTCTTGGCCTTAGCTCCTGAGAATTTTTTCACCGGATCACGAGAGGACAAGATAATACCCCAGCTTATTTCATCTGATGATTAATTACCTCGGGGGTTAAGTTACGTCAGTCTAGGTAGGATTGGGTTAGGTTAACGTTAGTGTGTTGTCTAATGGTAGACCCTGCATCACAAAAATTGTGACCAAATCCCTCGTTGCTGATCTGACTTTCTGTCTCATTTACACACAATTGCAGGTCTCAATTGTTTTTCTTACTTTGACAACACAACATACATATATCGTTTATCACTGTTGATTTTTTTTATTTATGGTCCTTCATCATTATTATTATTATTATTATTATTATTATTATTATTATTATTATTATTATTATTATTATTATTATTATTATTATTATTATTATTATTATTATTATTATTATTGTTATTATTATTATAGTTTTATTTAAAAAAAAATTTTGTTAATTGTTATAATTTCTTAATGATTATTATTAGTAGTAGTATTAATTAATTAATATTATTATTATTATATTTCGCCTCCAGGCCCTGATGTGGGTCATTGACCTGTGCCCGGGTGGGCTAATCCCTTAAAAAAAGGAATAAGCTAGTCCTCAGCTAGTACAGGGTAGCAACTAATTTCAGTAGAAATGCATATGCTTATAACAAAAAATAATATGATTACCTAAATTAAAACGACTTCTTAGAACAACCAATATACACTTGTTCACAAGAAAATAAATACGCCTGCTTACAGTACATTGGTATACTGTAATTGGTGAAGGCAGGAACTATGTTAAGAATTACCACGGACAGGCTCTCATACCTATTATTTCATTCATAAGACCAGACTATCCGAATATAATTTAAGCTAAGTAAGCGTACATTAATGATATTTTTGTAGGTAAAGTTTGATTAGTTTAGATTTTACAGGTTATTATCACTTGGAAAATATATAATTTCCTACCTCATTCATGAATGAAAGAGATAAGTGATTTAGTCGTGTTTTATGAGACATGTAAACCTTCATTACTATTTTGTTTATAAACGTAGACAATCAATTGTACCTTAATGACCCTAGGATAGTTTGGGTGGCCAGTGGGCACATAAGCTAAATAGGTAGTTAAGTACGTTTGGCCAGCGGAGGTCATAGTTTGGTAATAAATATTTCATTTTCGATTTCAATAGTTTGGTAAATTGATAAACAGATAGATAAATGTTCAATATTATTATAAATTTAAATATTTTATTTGTTTAAAACGAGGTAAATTGGTCTTAGGTTCGTTGTAATCATATAAGCAAAACCACGTTGGGGGGCCACAAGACCTTCACAATATTCCTTCACCACATTAATATTCCTTCGTTATAAAAGATGCCCAAGTCTAAACGTGATAAGAAGAGTGAGTACAAGCTAGTGATACATTATATATTTGTATTTATGTTGTGTTAGTGTATGTAAGAGGTAGTGCAGTGTACATATATCATGGCTCAAGTTTTATGGTACGGGTAAATACATTTTTTGACTCGCCAGTATAAGTAAGAGAGACCAGTTTACACCTATTGGTACTTTACTACTCGCCTAAGCAGCCTATATCTCTATTTAGTAGTATAGTAATTATCCATGACTGTTAGTTCATCGTAACTTCTTCAAAACTTTATAGTATCTTCCAGTTTTGGTCCAACTAATTACCCAAATGTAGCCGCAATGAAGTCAAATAATGGTCCTAGATGAATAAATCGGACTGCTAATCACTTCTCGACTAGTATTTGGTGTCAGAAAGTAAAAAAAAATTGGTATACAATAATTTAATCTGAGTTGTGTTGTGTTAGGTTAGGTTAGGTTAGGTACATGCACTCGATCTATCAACTCAGATTAAATTAAGTTTACCAATTTTTTTTTACTTTCTGACACCAAATACTAGTCGAGAAGTGATTAGCAGTCCGATTTATTCATCTAGGACCATTATTTGACTTCATTCCGGCTACATTTGGGTACATTTGGGTAATTAGTCGGACCCTCCAGTTTGATTTCGTTAATTTTTTCCAGATGTTGTTTGGATGATAGTACTTAAGTGATAGGGTATTTTTTACAAGTTGCTCAAAATGTCCCACAATATTTTTGGGTTCAGTTCTAATGGGTAAGTATATCTCGTCATTAATTTGTTAAATTATGGGCAACTTGTAAAAATTTACCATAATAAACACAACAGTGCAATGCACAGAACCTAATAAAACCTGACCTAACCTAACCAGGAGACCTCTCCCACGGAAAGTTGCGCTTGTGATGAAATCGACTCATTGGTACAACTACTTGTTAAATACAGTATTACCATAAAAATATACTGGAAGTTATAGATTAGGTGGGCTGGACTTTGTCTGAATTGTCTCTGCTAAAGGTAAGAACATAAGAAAATAAGGAGTCTGCAATAGGCCGGTTGGCCTGTGCATGGCAGCTCCTGTCGAGAGTTACTACCACTCTCTATCATCCATGAATCTATCTAGCCTCCTTTTGAAACTTTCCAGAGTTCCAGCACTTACTACAAAGTTGCTAAGCTTGTTCCACTTGTCCACCACCCTATTTGTGAACCAGTTTCTTCCTATCTCCCTCCTAAACCTAAACTTATCCAACTTAAATCCGTTGCTCCGAGTCCTATCCTGCTCGGATATTATAAGAACTTTATCTATATCCCCTTTATTGATTCCTTTCACCCACTTAAATACTTCTATCATATCTCCCCGCACTCTTTGTCTTTCTAGGGAATGCAAGTTAAGTTTCTTTAACATATCCTGATATGGAAGGTTTCTAAGTCCCGGAATCATTTTCGTCATTCTTCGCTGCACCGACTCTAGTGAATTGATATCCATTCTAAAATAAGGGCACCAGAACTGAACCGCATAATCGAGGTGCGGCCTGACTAGCGCAAGATATAGTTGCAATAAGACCTCTGCACTCTTATTATTGTACTTACACTTCTAGATATAAAACCCAATATTCTGTTTGCCTTATTTCGAACATTAACGTACTGTTTTCTAGGTCGTAGGTCCGGGCTTACAAGTACCCCTAGGTCTCTTTCACAAGTCGACTTCTCTAGGTTGATGTAGTTAAGGCTGTATACATTGTCAGTATTTGTTCTTCCAATATTAAGTATGCTACACTTGCTGGTGTTGAATTTCATTTGCCATTTTTCAGACCACTCCTGCAGTTTATTTAGATCCTCCTATAATGCATTTGCATCCTGCCTTGAATTAATCTGCCGCCCTATTTTGGTGTCATCCGCAAACTTACTTATGTCACTGCTGATCCCAGTATCTAGATCGTTTATGTAGATTATGAACAAGAGTGGGCCTAGTACTGACCCCTGGGGAACCCCACTGGTTACATGGCCCCACTCAGATTTAACACCATCTACGCCAACCCTCTGCGTTCTATCGGTGAGCCATGATTATATCCAATTTAAAACTTTCCCCTCGATACCATGAGCCTTAATTTTTCTCAGAAGCCTCTGATGCGGTACACTGTCAAATGCTTTGCTAAAGTCTAAGTAAATAACATCATAATTTTCGTCATTATCTACTACCTCGAAGACTTTCCTAAAAAACGTCAACAGATTTGTTAGACAAGATTTTCCCTTTGTAAACCCATGTTGCCAGTCGTAGATTAATTTGCTTTTCTCTAGATGCGATCGTATGCTATCTGCTATAATTGATTCAAGAAATTTCCCCACTACTAACGTCAAGCTGATCGGCCGGTAATTTGACGCTGATGCTCTGTCTCCCTTTTTGAATATGGGTACTACATTTGCCTGTTTCCACAAGTCTGTCACAACTCCGGTGTCTAATGATTTTGTAAATAAATTTACAAGGGGTCCGCTAATCTGTTCCCTACACTCTTTCAAGACTCGGGGGAAAATTTCATCCGGCCCAGGGGATTTTGTCTTATTTAGTTTATTTATCCTCTTAAGAACATCCTCTTTTCTGATAGTGATTTTCTTTAATTTCTCTTTTTCCTTTCCCCTAAATATCAGTTCCACTGGAATTTCCTCGCGAATTTCTTCTGTGAAAACTGATTAGTAGTAGTTGTTCAAAGTTTTGCTTATTTCTTCACTGCCATTTATCACTTCTCCCCTCCCTGACTTTAAAAGCCCAACTTTGTCCTTGACTTTTGCTCTATATACCTGGAAAAAGTCTTTGGGATTCGCCTTGGATTCTCTTGCTATTTTGACTTCATAGTCTCTCTTTGCTTTCCTTACATTTTTCTTAACATTCCTAGATAGTTCATTATACCTATTTCTGAGCTGCTTCTCCCCTCCCTTTAATTTCTTATAAATTCCTTTCTTTATTCCTATGTCATGTTTAAGTTTTCTGGTCATCCACCTTGGCTCATTCTTATTTGACCTAATTTTTCTGTATGGTATATTTTGTTCCTTTGTTTTATGTAGTGTACTAGTGAATATATTATAGTCATGATCAATTGTTGTGTCATCTATGACCTCGGCCCTTCCTACTGGGGACTGACGTGACTGTTCCCAGGTGACCTCACGTAGGTACCTTCTTAACCCCTGATAATCCGCCAACCGAAAGTTTGGGACTCTGACCATATTGTCATTGTTTTTTGTTTCCCAATTTAGGGTGAACCTGATTTCTCTGTGATCACTGTTACCTAGTTCTTCCCCTACTGTAATATCTCTGATAATATTTTCTTTATTTGTTAATACTAGGTCTAATATATTGTCACCTCTAGTAGGTTCTGTAATTAGGTGTTTCAAAAAATTGTCCTGCACTGCGTCTAGGAAGTCTTCAGATTCATAGTCACCTACAATGTTGTCCCAGTCAATATTTCTGAAGTTGAAATCCCCCATAATGCATAGGTTGTTATATTTTGCTGCCCTACTCATTTCCTGCCATATGGGCTGAGCTGCTTCTTTGCCCAGACTTGGGGGCCTGCAAATCACTCCCATAATTAGTTTTTCTCTTCCTTCTGTGATTTCTACCCATACAGACTCGGTTCCCATTTCACCCTTTTTTTGAATTATTAATACAACATTTTAATGTATCCTTGACGAAGAGTGCGACCCCTCCCCTCTTCCTACCTTCCCTGTCCTTGTGAAAAAGGTTGTACCCTTCTATGTGGTACAGTGATAAAAAAAATTTTGCTCGCCAGATTCATCCAAGTTTCGGTGATTGCTATGACGTCTACATTCTCTGTACATACAACCGCTCTCAGCAATTACCCCTCCATAATGTTTGTTACTTATCACATAAAACTCTTTATTAAAATGACTCAAGTTATGAAAATATATCGACATCACACAGGCTAGTATTCTCGACAGTGAGTCTGTCACTCGGTGTACTACTGTGAACCAGCCTGAGCAAGGAGACATCACAGGTTAACAGACTGCATGTTTCACCTCCATGAATTGACTTAAATTATACTCACGTTATTTCACCGTATTGACAAGAAAGCACAATGCTTCATGATTAAGATGGATATAGATAACACACTTGCCTTTTTATACTTTAACAATAAAGAACGAAACGGTAAATAGTAATCCTGGAGCAGATGGCTAACACCAGAACACGTGTTTGAGTTTTTTCATTTTTCCACAGATGTTCTTTGGATGATAGTACAGTAAGTACAATAAAAATGATATGGCAATACAGAGAACCTAATTAGAACCTGACTTGACAAACCAAGGACACCTACCAAACCTTACCTAACTTTCTAGCCAGGGGGCAGAGCCCCCCCATGCTTCCCTCCATATTAAACAGAAATTACAATACAGTATACTTAGGTTTGATATCTGGTACCAATGAATGCAACTTTGTTGAAGTGTCATGTTGTAATTTTACGTTTTTCGTGGACTTCAGAGTACACTTGAACTGAGCTTTGAAAGTTTGCTTCTTTTACACTCTTCTGAGAACATAATGTGCATTAGTGTTGTGTTAAACCGTCTTTCCTCAAACATTGTTCGCACCCTGATCTGTGTCTATGCGGCTACAATCTTCAAGCCTCAGAGCTAAGCCCACACCTTGAAGAAATTTTTTTTTTGTGTGTGTCAATCATTTTATTTTGAGGAGGAAGTTGTAAATATTTTTGAGCTACATGAAGCAAACTGCTTTATGACTTATAACAAAACTCAGATTTTTGGGGAATCACTTAAAAAGCCTTCTAAAGGTGGCTGTAGTTATACATGTTGCCCTCTTTTATTAAATACAACATGGTAAACTATAGTACAGTATTTGGAACATGGTCAGTCAAGTAGGAGTGGGATACTTTCCAAAATGTTATTTTAAAACATTAACCACTTTCATTTGTTATCAGGTATTATACTGACACAGAAGTTCAGCATTTCACAAGTATATAATATCTATTTTCTTAAAGAGGATGGGATTAAGACTTATAGTTGTTGTAATGCTTAAAATACAGATCCAGCAAGGTACAGTACAGCAGTATGAAAAAATGATATCTTACAAGTACAGAGGTGTTTTAAAAAAAAAAATATTCATTTTGGTGTAGAAGTGCCTCATATATTTATGGGTAAAAAGAGTACTGTACTTGTAAGGAAATTTTGTTTTTTTTCTTTTGTTTTTTTTATAAAAACAGATTGGACAGTACATACTGTATTTAGGTTAAAAAAAAAAAGCCTCTCCCCAAGTAAAAGAACATTCTTAATTGTGTTACATGGGTAAATAAGGTTACCTGGTCCACTGATTTCAGTTGTTTTACATGTACAGTGACCCCTCGTTTAACGAACACCTCGGTTAACGTAATTTCGATTAACGAACTGCCTTCCATAAGGATCTTCAATTCGGTTAACGAAAAAAAATTCGGCTAACGAAGTTCTTACGAACCGACCTCAACATGTTTTTGCTTGCACTGACCGGGCAACCAGCTTTAGTATCAGTCCGCCAATACATTAATCGGTTCTAGGGCTTAAATTCCTTACTATTTTAGTAAATATCAAGAAGTTTATACTATTCAATAATTTTAAAAGTTTAATATTCAATTTTTTAGGCATTTTAACAATTATTGAACATAATTGAAGGTAAAGTGACTAGTTTAATGTGTGGCATCCAGCCTCTTAACACAGCAAACAGGAGTTAGTCTCTCTCTGTTTTCACTGGAGGTAACATCTTGCTTGAGACTCTCTTCAACTAAACGCTTTTTTCCTGTGTTTCCAAGCAAATTATTGGTCATTTTGAAATATATTTTACATATTGACAATATATAATGCAGTGCAGTGTTGATTTAAAGAAAATAATCGTGAATTACACCGAGAGCTAAAATTTTATGGGTGAAATGGCGCCATGGGGTGACTTCTCTTCCACCCCAATGCCTTCTCTTCTTCCTTCTCCTCCACCCCCATTCTAAATCCCATCATCATCGTCATCATCATCATCATCATCATCCAGGAGCCTTCTACATACACACCTCAAAGTAAGTGAACTTTTCTACCATTTTTGTTGAATTTAGGAAATTTTCGGTGAGCTGGAACCAATTACCCAAAAACCCATTGAAACAATGGTTTCGGTTAACGAACGACCTTCTGGAACGGATTGAGTTCGTAAACGGAGGGGTCATTGTACAGTATTATTGATATAAAGTTTTAATTATTGAGTAATTTCTTTTCTCTTTACAGTTTCTCTGACACGAACTAAGAAAAAGGGGTTGGAATTTAAGCAGAATTTGGTAGAAGAGATTCGCAGCTGCATTGCCTCGTATGCTCGCATATTTGTCTTCTCTGCTGATCATGTTAAAACAAACAAGTTAAAGGATATGCGTTTGGAATGGGGACACAGCAGGTTGGTTTGATGAGAATTGTTTAGGATTTAAATGATTCCATATAGCACTTAGTGAATGTGTAGGAAATAGTTTCAGCAATTAGAGGATAGCACCATACTGCACAGCACACACTACTGTTATTTATGAAATGACTTAGGACTAGCACAAACGGGTGCCACAACAAGACCACATCCCTTAATAAAAAGACAAGGCCATAGTATTAGTCTCATTACCTGTATTGCACACTGGCATAAAAGGCATGCTTGTGCTTGTTTAGTGATATATCACTTTAAATTCCATAAGAAATTAATTGTACTGTAGGTAATAGATTTGTAGTTTTTCCTCAATAAACTGAGAAATTTTTCTTTTCAGGTTCTTCCTTGGCAAAAATAAAGTAATGGCATTGGCTTTGGGTCGTACACCAGAAGAAGAAATTTATGATAACCTTCACAAAGTTTCCCAGAAACTTGTTGGACAGCGTGGTCTTTTATTCACAAATTCTTCAGAGGAGGAAGTGCTCGAGTAAGTACAGTACTGTATATTGAATAGGAATGTGTGTTAGGTAAAAATTTAGCTTTCCTTTTAGTTGGATCCGTGGGTTGGAAGGGGAAGTCGATTCCATTAACTCATTAGTGAATGGGATGTTTTGTAATGCTTATAAAGTTTTGTTTGACTCAACATAGCTTTGTTGGATCCAAATGAAATACAAATTTCTGCTTATAAACTGTAGATCACCTGTTCTTGAAGATATTCAGCAGTCTGTACTAATGTGATGGTGTTTTTTTTTTTAAATACAGTACAGTATATTATAAATGAAAAACTAATACTTTCCTTTATTATTATTTTTTTTTTGCTATACATAGTAAATTGTGCCATTTGCTTTAATTAAGTGTATTTTCTCCCAGCTATTTTGAGAACAAAAGGTACCCTGTCCATCCACATGCAGGGGATTTGGCAGGAGAAACGGTCGAGTTGAAACAGGGTCTACTAGAACAGTTTTCTCATTCTCTGGAGCCACATCTGAGGAAGTTGGGGTTACCTACTAGACTGCAACGTGGAATCCCAGAGCTTCTTAGAGACCACACAGTGTGTGTGAAAGGAAAGCCCCTAACACCAGCACAAGCCAGTATTCTGGTGAGGATGAATGTATTTTTAAATACCCAAGTAACTTTAGGTAGGTGGTGCTCCGAGCAAGAAATAGACAAGTGACAAAAGTAAAAAAAGCTAGAAAACACAGTTTTAAAACTTAAAAAGGATGCTTGAAGGTTGTAATGCACCTCAAGCCATGTTTTTACTTTTCTTGTTCTCACCTGGAGCGGTTCATATGTTGCAGATAGATAACCACCAGTAAAAGTAATTTGTCGAGTTGTGACTCAATTAAGAAAAGTTTATCTTGTATACTGGCAGTGCCTGGATGTATGACTTATCCACCTATTTACCTGAGAGAGAGTCATTCAGAACTTTATTTTCTTCTTATTTCTGTTACTGAAAAGCAAGTAATAAATTCCACTCTTTATTGAAGGTAGCCAAACCATCATGCAGTATTCTTCATCATGGTGAATGATTTTTAAAAGTTGTGGATGGGCATGTGCACCTCCCAGTCACAATGTAAATTATACATGTTTATAAATGAGTGTTTATTTCTCCACAGGGATACGAAAGCATAGTTTTGTTAATTAACTAATTAATATTATTGTTTCTCGCAGAAACTGTTGGGAAAAGAAATGTCATTTTTCCATCTCGGAATGCAGTGGTGTTGGAGGCGACTGGATGGTAGTTTTGAGAAACTTTTGACTCGTTCTGACCAAAGCAACACTGCGAGAGAAGAAGCTAGTGAAGAAGAAAATGCTGAAATGAAGAGTGAAGATGATAGTGAATCTGAAGAAGAAAATAAATAAATACAGTTTATTGAATTTCTTATTTTTTTCCTCAGATTGGCTTTGTGACATGTATGACAGAGAAAGCACTACACTTCCTCTCTTAAAGCAAAAGTTTGCTTTGCACTATGAAGAGAAAATTTGTTTGTTGCAGCAGAAATTTTAAATGCCACATTAACAGAAAATTATTTCTCAAATTACTGGTACATTTACTGTACAGTAAATAAACTTGATAGAAAATGTACCTCTTGGGCAATATTAAACAGCATTCGACTGTATTCAGTTGTCAGCAGCTCGATATGTGATGCAGGTACCATGTCACTCCCTATTAGGGTAAACTGATACTGTACCTGGGTAATGGGTTGCAATAACCTACTAGCCCACATAATACCACTCACTCAGATGGAGAGACTAATTTTGATGCTGACCTTGTGCACCAACATATGAGACACTGCCAGGCAGAACGAAGAAATTTTTTCTTCTGATAATCCATGCTCTACCACATGGGACTAAAAAACAAAGGAATTTTGCCTTCATTCCAGTGGTATAAAGAATTTTTCTCATACATATTCATAATTATTATCCAAAAACTACAAAAAAAGACATAAATGATGAAAATTTATAAAGATTTTTCTTGAGCTATGGACCAGAAATGGAAAATCTTCAAAATGCACTATTTACAAAATATAGGTTTTGCATGCTCGCCCTTTTTCCTGGCAATACCTCGTGTAATTAAGTGAAAGGATTCATATACAAGATATTTAAACAACTGCCACTGATCTACTGCAAGAGAGTATGAGTATGTTCTGACAGTGATGAGAAATAGAGTGGATTACCGAGTAGTTATTATTGAAGGGAGTCTAATATACAGTACTTGATATGGATTATATTTTGGACAGTTTTTCTAGGATAGCTGTGGATAAGTACAATCCCTCCTGAGATCTTAATTTTTTAAAAGCATTTGTATTGCAGTGCATGTCCCAAGTGACATATACTGTATATTCCGACTAAATCTATAGGGTTAACACCAGGTATTGGTAACACCTTTGTACAAAAATTAGAGCAGCTCTAAAAGGAGTTTTTGAAATAGTCACCACACAATGAGTTGTGACATTACACCAGCCTGAGCACACCAAACCTGCCACTTGGCTTGGCCATAAACTGTGATTCAAACCCTAGCATCAGGTGTCTTAATGCTACTGTACAGACATATTCCCTGTAAAAGAACTTCAGTGTTTTCAGGAATTTTTCACAAATTCACAGTTCTCGCATTATTAATATAATTAAGGCAAGTTTGAATTAACCCATTAAGACTTGGGGTGAATTGCACCATGTTTCTCCACATGCTGGCTTATGCCTGTGCAATATAAACCTACCTATAGATCTTCAAGGTATTTTTTTTATTTAAAGTATGCATATGATATTTTCTTTATTTTGTTATTAAAAAAGTAAAACAAATGTTCAACTTAATTTTTAAGTGTGGAAGCAAAACTTGGCATAGTCTGCTAGTAGACCAAAGGTAACATGGATGACCCAGGACCCAGAAAACTCCCAAGGGTCACGGATTTGAGGGTCTATATCTGTACAGTATTTGCATAGACTAAAACACCAAATACAGTGCACAAAAAGATAAAACAGAAAAAATAAGGAGTAAATTATAAAATCCAATTTTACATCCGACAAGAAGAGACAAATAACCTACGTCATCATCCACCAAATACTCCCTGACATGAGGACTTGTCTGCCTCCTTAGAGGAAGTACACCGTCTATATACAGTAGTTTAATGCAAATGCTGTCAAATACCCAGTCAATCTAAGTTCTGACCCCGACTCAATGCTGCTTCAAGGAGTCGGCAAGTCAATCATGTTACCTAGGACACGCCCTTCACTAGTTTTTAACTTGCATGAAACAACTACCCTAAACAAAATACAGCTAGACCCCGACTTACAACTGCTTTGACTTACGACCGTCGGGACTTACGACCGCCGCAGTTGTGACCATTTTTTTTTTCTTCAAATGACGCACGCATTTTCTATACCGAAACGTTTCCAGTTAATGTAGTCTCCATGTATAATAAGAAAATTGTGGGGGCCCCATGTGCATTCAGCTGACTACATTAAAGGTAAGTGCTCAGTCACACTGTATCCATTCCTCATTATTTATTACTTTCACTGTACTGTATCCATTCCCCATTATTTATTACTTTTACTGTACTGTATTTCATTGTAGATTTTTTATTAATTTTTTTTTTTTTTTATCTATGTCGGACTTACGACCATTCGGACTTACAACCTGGATTTGGGTCCCTAACCCCGTCGTAAGTCGGGGTCTAGCTGTATACTGTAGTTGATAAATATAAATTTTGTGCAATAAATTATAATCCTTTTATTTAAAACCTTAATAATATGTTGCAAAGACCTTTTGATTGTACATGTACTTCTGTTGTGAAAATTTTCTTAGCACAACTACGGATGACCTAAACTCCTGCTGGGCCATGACATACATCTAGGTGGGCCGTCATGACATACAGTACATCTAGGTGGGCCGTCACGACATACAGTACATTTAGGTGGACCGTCATGGCATACAGTACATCTAGGTGGGCCGTCATGACGCTACTGTACAACTAGGTGGGCCATGGCATATCATCTAGGTGGGCCGTCACGACATACAGTACATCTAGGTGGGCCGTCATGACACCAGTACATCTAGGTGGGCGTCATGACTTACAGTATATCTAGGTGGGCGTCGACGCCATACAGTACATCTAGGTGGGCCGTCATGACATACAGTACATCTAGGTGGGCTGTCATGACATACGTATATCTAGGTGGGCCGTCATGACATACAGTACATCTAGGTGGGCCGTCATGACATACAGTACATCTAGGTGGGCCATCATGACGCCAGATACATCTAGGTGGGCCATCATGACATGCAGTACATCTAGGTGGACGTCATGACATACAGTACATCTAGGTGGGCCGTCATGACATACAGTACATCTAGGTGGGCCATGGCATACATCTAGGTGGGCCTCGTGACATACAGTACATCTAGGTGGGCCGTCGTGACATACAGTACATGGGTGGACCGTCAGACATACAAGTACATCTAGGTGGGCCCTCATGACATACAGTACATCTAGGTGGGCGTCATGACATACAGTACATCTAGGTGGACCGTCATGACATACAGTACATCTAGGTGGGCATCATGACATACAGTACATCGGTGGGCCGTCATGACATACAGTACATCTAGGTGGGCCGTGTGACATACAGTACATCTAGGTGGACCATCATGACATACAGTACATCTAGGTGGGCCGTCGTGACATACAGTACATCTAGGTGGGCCCTCATGACATACAGTACATCTAGGTGGGCCGTCGTGACATACAGTACATCTAGGTGGGCGTCGTAACATACAGTACATCTAGGTGGGCGTCGTGACATACAGTACATCTAGGTGGGCCGTCGTGACATACAGTACATCTAGGTGGGCCCTCATGACAACAGTACATCTAGGTGGGCCGTCATGACATACAGTACATCTAGGTGGACCGTCATGACGACACAGTACATCTAGGTGGGCCATCATGACATACAGTACATCTAGGTGGGCCGTCGTACGACATACAGTACATCTAGGTGGGCCGTCATGACATACAGTACATCTAGGTGGGCCGTCGTGACATACAGTACATCTAGGTGGACCGTCATGACATACAGTACATCTAGGTGGGCAGTCATGTCATACAGTACATCTAGGTGGGCGTCGTGACATACAGTACATCTAGGTGGACCGTCATGACATACAGTACATCTAGGTGGGGCGTCATGACACCAGTACATCTAGGTGGGCCGTCATGACATACAGTACATCTGGGTGGACGTCAGGACAGTACATCTAGGTGGACGTCATGACATACAGTACATCTAGGTGGACCGTCAGGACATACAGTACATCTAGGTGGACCGTCGTGACATACAGTACATCTAGGTGGACGTCGTGACATACAGTACATCTAGGTGGACCGTCGTGACATACAGTACATCTAGGTGGACCGTCGTGAATACAGTACATCTAGGTGGACCGTCATGACATACAGTACATCTAGGTGGACGTCGTGACATCAGTACCTAGGTGGACCGTTGTGACGTCACACATCTAGGTGGACCGTCGTGACATACAGTACATCTAGGTGGACCGTCGTGACATACAGTACATCTAGGTGGCCGTCATGACATACAGTACATCTAGGTGAGCGTCGTGACATACAGTACATCTCGGTGGACCGTCGTGACATACAGTACATCTAGGTGGACGTCATGACACAGTACATCTAGGTGGGCTGTCATGACATAGAGTACGTCCTAGGTGGGCGTCATGACATACAGTACATCTAGGTGGGCGTCATGACATACAGTACATCTAGGTGAGCCGTCTGACATACAGGACATCTAGGTGGGCCATGGCATACATCTAGGTGGGCCGTCAGGACATACAGTACATCTAGGTGGGCCGTCAGGACATAAAGTACATCTAGGTGGGCCGTTGTGACATACAGTACATCTAGGTGAGCCATGGCATACATCTAGGTGGGCGATGCGTGACATACAGTACATCTAGGTGGGCCGTCAGGACATAAAGTACATCTAGGTGGGCCGTCGTGACATACAGTACATCTAGGTGAGCCATGGCATACATCTAGGTGGGCGTCGTGACATACAGTACATCTGGGTGGGCCGTCAGGACATAAAGTACATCTAGGTGGGCGTTGTGACATACAGTACATCTAGGTGAGCCATGGCATACATCTAGGTGGGCCATCATGACATACAGGACATCTAGATAGGCCATGGCATCTAGGTGGGCCGTCAGGACATAAAGTACATCTAGGTGGGCGTCATGACATATAGGACATCTAGGTGGGCCATGGCATACATCTAGGTGGGCGTGTGACGCCACACAGTACATCTAGGTGAGCCATGGCATACATCTAGGTGGGCCATCATGACATACAGGACATCTAGATAGGCCATGGCATACATCTAGGTGGGCGTCCAAGACATACAGTACATCTAGGTGGGGCGTCGTGACATACAGGACATCTTGGTGGGCCATGGCATACATCTAGTTGGGCGTCGTGACATAGAGTAAATCTAGGTGAGCCATGGCATACATCTAGGTGGGCCATCGTGACATACAGGACATCTAGGTGGGCCCTCATGACATACAGTACATCTGGGTGGGCGTCATGACGCCAGAGTACATCTAGGTGGGCCGTCATGACATACAGTACATCTAGGTGGCTGTCATGACATACAGTACATCTAGGTGAGCCATGGCATAAATCTAGGTGGGCCATGACATACAACTAGGTGGGCGGTCATGACATACAGTATATCTAGGTGGGCCGTCATGTCACACAGTACATCTAGGTGGGCCGTCATGACATACAGTACATCTAGGTGGGCCATGGCATACATCTAGGTGGGCCATGACATACATCTAGGTGGGCCATGACATACATCTAGGTGGGCCGTCATGACACACAGTACATCTAGGTGGGCCGTCATGACGCCAGATTACATCTAGGTGGGCCATCATGACATACAGTACATCTAGGTGGGCCGTCATGACACATGGTACATCTAGGTGAGCCATGGCATAAATCTGGGCCATGACATACATCTAGGTGGCCGTCATGACATACAGTACATCTAGGTGGGCCATCATGACATACAGTACATCTAGGTGGGCCGTCATGACATACAGTACATCTGGGTGGGCGTCATGACATACAAGTACATCTAGGTGGGCTGTCATGTGCTACAGTCCATCTAGGTGGGCCATGTGCATACATCTGGGTGGGCCATGACATACATCTAGGTGGGCCATGACATACATCTGGGTGGGCGGTCATGACATACAGTACATCTAGGTGGGGCGTCATGTCATACAGTACACATCTGGGTGGGCCGTCATGACATACAGTACATCTAGGTGGACCGTCATGACCACAGTACATCTAGGTGGGCCGTCATGACATACAGTACATCTAGGTGGGCTGTCATGACATACAGTACATCTAGGTGGGCCATGGCATGCATCTAGGTGGGCCTGACATACATCTAGGTGGGCCATGACACTACATCTAGGTGGGCCGTCATGACATACAGTACATCTAGGTGGGCGTCATGTCATACAGTACATCTAGGTGGGCCGTCATGACATACAGTACATCTAGGTGGGCCATGGCATACATCTAGGTGGGCGTCGTGACATCAGATACATCTAGGTGGGCGTCAGTAACATACAGTCACATCTAGGTGGGCGTCATGACACCTGAGTACATCTAGGTGGGCCGTCGTGACATACAGTACATCTAGGTGGGCCGTCGTGACATACAGTACATCTAGGTGGGCCGTCGTGACATACAGTACATCTAGGTGGGCCGTCGTGACGTCACAGTACATCTAGGTGGGCGTCATGACGCCACAATTACATCTAGGTGGGCCGTCATGACATACAGTACATCTAGGTGGGCATCGTGACTGGCACCAGTACATCTAGGTGGGCGTCATGACATACAGTACATCTGGGTGGGCGTCATGACATACAGTACATCTAGGTGGGCGTCGTGAACATACAGTACATCTAGGTGGGCCGTCGTGACATACAATACATCTAGGTGGGCCGTCATGACATACAGTACATCTAGGTGGGCGTCGTAACATCAGTACATCTAGGTGGGCCATCGTGACATACGGTACATCTAGGTGGGCGTCGTGACATACAGTACATCTAGGTGGGCCGTCGTAACATACAGTACATCTAGGTGGGCGTCGTGACATACAGTACATCTAGGTGGGCCCTCATGACATAAGTACATCTAGGTGGGCCGTCGTGACATTGGTACATCTAGGTGGGCCCTCATGACATACAGTACATCTAGGTGGGCGTCGTGACATACAGTACATCTAGGTGGGCCCTCATGACATACAGTACATCTAGGTGGGCCGTCATGACATACAGTACATCTAGGTGGGCCATGGCACATCTAGGTCAGTGCGGATTAACCATGAGGCACTTGAGGCACTGGCCTCAGGCCCCCCAACTCTAGGGGCCCCAATCCAAACATTCTCGAGTTGAAGCGTATAAACATGAACTTCGGCTCACGATGTCTAGCAACGTCTCAATTTTCTGTCTCTTATGAACATTAAATGTGTTATTTTGCAGAAGCTTAATATTGATGAAATCATTGATAAATTTGGGTATATTTTGTTCTTGTTATTTATATATACCTTGAGGGTAGGGGGCCCCAAGTTGATCTGTACCTCAGGCCCCTATTAAGCTTAATCGCCTGATCTAGGTGGGTCATACATCTAGGTTTGCCATGGCATACATCTAGGTGGACTATGGCATACATTTAGGATGGGCCATGGCATACATCTAGGTAGGCCACAAACGCTTGTCAAATAGATGCCGTAATATACAATAATAATTGAATAACCCCAATAATTTAAGACGTTGTGACATTTCATCAAACTGATAATATAACCACTGATAATTTACAGTTATTCATTAATTTATGTCCAATAAACAAACATACAGTAATCTAACAGAATATGTATTTAATGATAAACGTCCCTTACTGGTACATTTTTACTTTGTTTCCTGGTACCATGTGGCTTATGTTATCGAGAAGTTGATGACTGCTTGTGTTTCAGATGCGTTAATAAGTTTTGACTGTGACAAATGGCTTATTAAACTTAATATAAACACGATCTGAGATATGCAAAATGAAGGGGTTGGGGTGATCTATGAGTTGTCTGAACCAGCTGCACAGAGCCTCACCTGACAATGGTTGGCAACCAATCCTAAACCCAAGAGTTATCTTCATGCTGAGATGACCAGGAAGATATGATTTCCCTTTTCTACTTTTCAGTGGGAAGTGTAGGTAACCCTAATACCTTTTGATATATATGTCTTCACAGTCACTTCTAACCCATGATTTCTCCACCTTTAAAAAGCTTCTGCAACAGAAACCCCCCAAAACAGAGTGGAGAAAGACTTAAAATGAGCAGAATATTGTGAAAAATAAAATATTGTTCAAACACATGTACAGGCAGTCCCCGAGTTACGAACACCCACACTTACAAATGGGATCCCAATATATTCATCGCAAAAAATGTCACTAAAATCCCATTTTTTTTATATTACCGTACTTTATACAGTATTATTTAACATCACTTTATTTACAGTACAGTAATATCTCCGTTATTTGTTATGTATGGGATATTGGTGTTTTGTATGGGCAGGGTTGTGGTTTAACCTAACCTAACCTAAACTAGGGAATTAATGCTGTTCTGACTTAGGAACAGGGTCCAGGAACGTAACCCGTTCATAACTCAGGGACTGCCTGTATATATTTTTCTTATACAGTACTTTGTATTGGTAAATTTTACCTACATATTCTACTTCTTGATGAAACACAATACCCACTCGAGATATTATAGCAAGAAATGGAAATACAGTATAACACACACACACACACACCATACACTGTACTGCACCAACACACTGTAATGATGAAGTACAATACTGTACAGTATACTGTATCTGGAGTCTTCAAACTATACAACATTTGAAGTTCTGCTTTAGCTGTTTAAGGTTTTCAAAAATTGTAAAGACATCTACAGAATTCCCAAAGGTTTACAAGCTTGTCCAAAAAACTATTAAATTAATGTCCAAATAAAATTGCACAAAATCCTTTATTTTCTTATTAAAAAGACAGTATCTATCAATCCACCATTATATGGCAATAAAAAAAGAAGTAATTATCCAGTCTTATTCCTAAATTTAGATACAGTCAGCCCTTAACATACGCGGGTTTATAATACACGGATTTGCAAATACGCGGATTGCCCCGCCGGAGGAATATTCTGTACATTGAAGTAATTGAAGTACATTCAAATCGCGCGCCATTCAACTCGCGCGCAGCACCGAACACGGGACACCGCCCGCTCCCGCAACCTCACACACACACGCATAGCTCTCCCTCACTCAGTCAGTCTCGCTGTAACCACGCTTGTGTTGACATCAGCATTGTAGTTGCAAAAATATTACATTTCTGTGAATGTATTATATCAAGAACAGTATGAATAGAATATCACTAATATAAGAATATTTTAATCGAAAACTATTAAAAAAACGAGTAACATATCTTGAACATCGGAAGGTTAGGTAAAGTCTTTTGTTTTCGTGTAGTTTATCCTAATTTACATTGAAATGCGTTACGTTTCAGCAAAACTACTATTTATTTCTGAGAATATGGAAATGTAATATTTTGCTGAAATGACGTAGGTATTACAGTGGAAAGTGACGAAAGCAATGACTTTCACTTTCTTTCGTTCAAAAGATGTTACCGTAATCGCTTTTTGAATGGTTTTCAGTTAAAAAACTGTTGTATATATATATATATATATATATATATATATATATATATATATATATATATATATATATATATATATATATATATATATATATATATATATATATATATATATATATATATATATATATATTGATAAAATCACACGGGAAAATGGAAACATCTTAAGGGGTGAGTACAGGTTGTACCTCTCTAGTACGGCATTCTGTGGTCCGGAAACTCCCGTGGTTCGGAACAATTTTAGTTTGTCCAATAGGTAGATTGGCAGCTTCTTTTTTCTTTTTTTTAACTTATCTGCATTATTATTATTATTACAGGAGTATTAAGTTTTTGCTCCTCAGGCCCCAATGTGGGTCAGTGACCTATGCCCGGGTGGGCTAATCCCCCCCAAACAAACAACAAAGCCGCGGGAAATTAAGGTTTGTTTACATCCGGCAGTTCGGCTGCTCTCTCTCTCTCTCTGCTTGTCTATACAGAGTACAACATTTAACTCTTCAATATATATGAGCAGTAAATAAGTGTTACTTTCATATTCTTATGTAGAGTAATGACGATATGTTTTCACATGTGCGCACTTACATACACGCAGTCTCACTTTTTTTTTTTTACCATTAATGGTTAGCTACTTATATTGTTCCATTTATTACATTAAATAACATTACTTCAAAAAAGCATATTAATTTTTTTACATTAATTTTACTACAGCTACAATCAGGGTCTTATTTTCTTCAGTTTTATATGTAGAACCAATCAGTCACTGGTTTTGTAAGCTTTAACAAAAACAATGCCGGCAGCCGTCTCGTCTCCTCGTGTGTTTTAATATTCCACGTATTATTAATAAATTGTATTGTTAATTTTGCACACACAAACATTAATTCAATAAAAACAAATTCAGAAACATTAATTAAAATATATATGAACAGTAAATAAGTGTTGCTTTCATATTCTTATGTAAAGTAATGACGATATGCTTTCACGTGTGCGCATGCGCACTTACATACGCGATCTCTCTTTTTTCTTTACCATTATCGTTAGCTACTTCTATTGTTCCATTTATTTCCATTTATTAACATTAAATAACATTACTTAAAACAACCATATTAATTTTACTACAGCTACAGCCAAGGTCTTATTTTCTTCAGTTTTATATGTAGAACCAGTCAGTCACTGGTTTTGTAATCAACGAAAACAATGCTGTGTCATTTCCTCGTGTGTTTTAATATTCTACGTATTATTAATGAATTGTATTGCTCATTTTGCACACATAAACATTAATTCAATAAAAAAAGACATTCAGTAATAAACAATAATGAATCTTTTGTACATAAGAGAAATGACGCTGTTTACACGATTATGCCTGTCGTCTGCACGTTGGCGGGCCGTTCAAACCCGTCGAAATTCAAGTTTCCGCCGTCAAAATTTTTATTTATTTATTTTTGTGTGTGTTCCAATAAAATACGTTAAGAATTAAAAACTCGCGAAATTTGAGAAGCTACTATACGACATTTAACCCTTCAATATGTCTTCAAAGAGACCATGATGCAGAGAAAGTGGTGCTAGTGCTTCCAAGCATAAGCACAAGTCACTATCTATCCAGGAAAAGGGTGAATTTCCATGGTCCGGCACCGGTCAGGTCCCGAGGTTGCCGGACTAGAGAGGTACAACCTGTATATCAAGCACAGTATGAATATAATATCATTGTAATATAACAGTATTTTAGCCGAAAACTATTAAAAAAACGAGTAACATCTCTTGAACATTGGAAGGTTAGGTAAAGTCTTTTGTTTTCGTCATGTATTTTATCCTATTTTACATTGAAATACATCACGTTTCAGCAAAACTACTATTTATTTCTGAGAATATATTCATTCAGGCACAGTTTAGGTAAAATATACATGTGCTGTAACATTTTTTTAATTGAAAACGATTTGAAAAACACGTACCCTCTAGCCCTGTTCAAGGAGAGGACTGGGAGAAGCTGTTTGGTGCTGCAGACGATGACAAGGAAAATGATTTGGATGGATTTTAATGAAAATATTCAGAAATATGGTATCGTAGTATTTATTCAAGTCAATTAGGATAGAATATTATTGTAACACAACAGTAGTGATGATGTGGAGAAGGCGGAGGGACAGAGCGGGGAGGAGGTGACTGGCGGGAGCAGGGACGAGTGGAGATGCCAGCCAGTACATTACGGGTGTATTAATTGTTTTTATAGCTATTTTTGCATTTTAATATTAAATACTGTGCATTACGTTTCAACAAAACTACCATTTATTTCTGAGAACATGGAAATGTAATATTTTTGCTGAAATGATGTACGTATTACAGTGGAAAGTGGGATAAAATTGTGACGAAAGCAATGACTCTCTTTCTTTCGTTCAAAAGATGTTGCCGTAATCGCTTTTCGAATGGTTTTCAGTTGTGGGATTATAAGGCTAATGATAGGATAGAATATTATTGTAATACAGTACGAGTACAACAGTTTTTTAACTGAAAACCATTCGAAAAGCGATTACGGTAAAATCTTTTGAACAACGAAAGAGAGCGAAAGTCTTTCGTCATGATTTTATCCCACTTCCCACTATAATATGTACGTCATTCCAGCAAAAATATTACATTCCATATTTATTTCCGAGAACATATTCATTCAGTCACAGTTAAAGTAAAATATACTTGTGATGTAATATTTTAATGAAAATACGGTATCGTAGTTTTCTTTTGTTTCAAATTTAATTAACAAAGATTGATGTTTCAAATGTAATGAACAAAAATTTATGTACAGTATCTATAAATAAACTTTAATAAATGAATACTTTGTTTTACATCGTCCTGTGCTACCACACCATGGATTTGGCTACTTTGGGCTTGCTATGATGACGCAAGAGATCTGCCCTGGCAACTGTACCGACACTCACAGCTAGAGGTGCGTTGGTGCATCGTTTCCATTGTTTACTGGTTGTTACTGGTAAATATTTTTCAACCTAACGAAACTATTACCCTTTTAGAGGTCGACCCCCAATTTTTTGCCAAATAATTTGGTCTTAAAAACTCGAACTACACACAGGTATATACGGTAAATAAGGACATGGGGGCCAGGGTTTTTTTTTGGGGGGGGGCAGCACATATACGCGGATTTTTAACATCCACGGCTATCTCTGATACGTAACCCCCGCGTATGTTAAGGGCCGACTGTATAAACTGTACACTTCTCACATAATGTTATCTATCTTAAGTGACCAGAACAGATTTGTTTATACACTATTATAAAAATCTCATCCTAAAAAAACACACGTGACAAAACAAGTTTATATTGCACCTTTACCCATTTTAAGCCATGTCTCAATAAACTCATCCTGCCACTTATGTTCTAATGCATCACCGTTCAACCTGCCACTTTTGGACAGAACTCAATTTTCCGAGCTCAGATAACGGCCACACCCTGCAAACTGCTCGGCCACGAATTAATCCAGAGGGCACGGATCCAAAATTACGAGAATCGGTAGAATTCATGGAATTGTCACCCTCCAGCCAAACATGTCCTTTGGGAACCTGTCAACAAATAAATATATGTATGTTGGACCTACCTATAACACTACATTTCTTAAATGATTACCTTAATTAAAGAATAAGGTAAGATGAGTATTTGACCTCTATAACTAACAAAAGTGATATACTGTACAGTAATTAGTGTTACGAAAGGTGTAGCAATATACTTCAGAGGTGCACAGAGATTGGCTACAAATCTATATCAAACTAACACATCATGGAGATTTTCCTCTCAGTCTTACGTTTTTTTTTGATGCACACTAATGAGACCTTATCAAAAGCTCACAAGATATCCTCTACTGTAGTACTTTTATGATTCCAGTACAGTACTGTATATTGAAACTTCCCTTCCTCCACTGACTAGCAGCTGAACACTAAACTATTTGAAACCTGTTCAGAATATTACTAACCAGCATTAAGTATGTTTTGTCCATTGAGTGCATTTTCTGGTATATAAACTTGGTTTATGTCCCATTTAGGGTGTGAAAAAGCCTTTGAACCACCACTTATCATGATTTATGGAGTACCTCAGATTTTTGGCTAATTGAGGGAAATCCCCAAGTCTAACCTATCTGAGTTACTTGCTAATCCCTTAAAGATTTATGGATTAAATTAACTTCAAAAGTACACATGACTTAGCGAGCATACTTGATCCCAAGAAGAAAGGCCATCCATGAGTGCCATAATAATATGTATAAACACTAAGCTTTTGGGGAAGCAACCAGGAGGCAACAGAAGTGAAATTCCACTCTTGATGGCATCCACCACGGAAGTAATTGAGTGAAACCTCAAAATGTGCAACAATAGGTGGAAAGTAAGGGTACTGCAGCTATGTGAGGTCTTTTTCTAAGAGACCATTTTTGTGCTAAATGCTTACATACACATGGCCTTTCCTCCTTGTTTCTTTAACCACTTGTGTATGGGGTCCCCTCTGTGCTGTAAAAATGTCTTGTGCTAGTTAAATAAAATATTAAAAGTGGTATCCCTGAAGTGAAGGGGGTAACTACTACTTGTCTATCTGGTCACAGAGTGCATGTAGTTCTGGATGGTTTGTCCTCAACTACCACTATTAATGCCAGAGTGTTTCTGGGTTCTGTATGAGCACCAATTATTTATTTTTTACATATTAATGATCTCTTTTCAGTGACAAACAATTCTATTCACTCCTATGCACATGACAACCCTCTATAGATCCTTCACTCTAATTACCCCAGTCTCATGTGATGGAATTCTGAATGCAAGACAACAGACATCCTCATCTCTACACGAAGACCTCGCACATCTAGCTGAGTGGGGTGCATCCAACTTGCTTTCCTTCTATGCTACTAAAACAGAATAAATTATATTTAGCAACAGGGATAACACTTCACACTTCAGCGTAACTTTTGACATCATCATCATCATCCCACTATCCCATAGAATTGAAATTTTAGGTCTCGCCCTTATTTCAAGTCTAGTTCAGAACCAGGCTCTACTTCACTGATGAACAGTTGACAGCCATTATGTAAGTCAGATGTGCTCTCAGACAGAACTCGGTGGTAGTGGTATCATGGCACTTTGATTCCTAGATTTAGTGCAGAAAAAAACATCAAAATAATTGCCTTACTAGAAAACATTCAATACTACATAGTAATCTTAGGGATATCTCATCATTTTCTCTTCTATAGATAATTCCAGTAAGTGGTGTGATTAGTTACACTCAATGGTTCCACCACCACACACCCTTAATCAGCACACGAGAGCATTTGGGAGGATCCATGACCAAAACTGATTTATACCTCCGTCTAGGTTATTTACTCTAAAGTATTTCTAATAATTATTGGGATTTTAGGTGGATCAGGTAATCACTAAAGCAGATGAGACTACAGGGGGCCCCCTAAGTTCGCGGATTTTTATTTCGCGGTTCTCGGATGACACCCAGGATGTACCCAAGAATGTCTGTGGGTAGTTTTTAAGTTGCTGGCATTTTCGTGGCTGGGACAGGGAGTGTAATGATTGTTTATCATACCATAGCTTACAGCCCAGAGAAGAACAGCATATATAATAGTAGGTAGATGCCCACGTGGTAACCCATGTAGGTTGACACACCCTACAGTGAGATGAAGACCTGACTCAGGAGAGGTCACGGCCACTAGGTACCTGAGTTAATCCGGTGTTATGACCGTGTTACTCAAGAAACTACACCTGGACAAGCTGTCCAGACCTGACCCAGAGTCCTCACCGCCACGCAATTAGCTTAACCCGGCGACATGACCGTGTTAAAGAAACCACACCTAGCCAAGACACACCTGGGTGGTAATAATTAGGAGCATTACTGACTGGCGACATGACCACGCACCTGGACAAACACAGCCGTCCAGATCTAACCAGTTTAGTGTTAATTAGGAGAGGTCATCTGCCAGCTCTCCTCCAATATAAAGGCCCTGCAGCACCTTCCACGGGCATTACTTTCACATCACTGAAGACAGAAGATGGAACGGCTGGAGTCATTGAGTGGGGGGGGGGGGAGACTTCCCTCCCCAGCACCGCGTCTCCAGCTAGCAGAGTCTCCCACAGGAGACATAGTCCAGCAGCACCCGCTGGGCCTCCCTCAGGTCACACGTGAATCATTGTCAGAGCTATCCATAGGGTGAATTACTTAAGGTGGGAAGTGTATTCATTTCATGTGTGTGACCAAGAGTCAGTGTCTAGTAATGTAAATATAATGTTCTAGTAACTTCGATATAATGTGCTATTAATGTGTCTGTGTCATTGAGTGAATAATAAATAGCTGTACTTAGAATTGGTGTTTAGAAGGATTTCCCCTAAGAACGTACTTACAGCTAAATAACTAACCGGCCACTCTACCAAACTTCCTCACTTTACATTCCTACAACTAAATATTCTACCTATATGTATATCTTCTATACGAGTTTTGACTTGTTATAACCATAAATTCTTCCTATACTTTCTACCTCTAAATCCTCCCATTACAGGAACCATTTGTTCTAGAGACAGAAATTTCCTTTACCTGTATTGTAAATATGTGTGTGTGCGTGTGTGTAGACACACACACACACAAAACACATACAAATAAATAATGATGGGAAAAGACTCTTACAAATAATCAGAAACAATTTTATTAAAAATGTGACAGTCTACCCTCAATTCTGTGGTCTATTACAGTACAGTACAGTACAATATGGTCTCGATTTACGCGGATTTTGTTTACACGTTTGGTCATTTATGCGGCACCTTGCCAGACCGACAATTTTTATTTACGCGGTATTTTCCATCATTTACGCAGGAAGCGGCGCGGGCAGGGTGCGCACAAGGTCGCCCAGTTAACAAAACATTACCGAGTTCTTCACCCGCCACCCACCACAGCCAGCCCAAGTCAGTGATAGTGAGGATATGGACTTTGAGGGGTTTGACAAAGAGGCCCTGCAAGCCTCTGTGGTGGATAGCGATACAGGTGATACAAGTGATACAGGTGAGGGCCAATAATCTGCCCTCTGCCTTGGAACCAACCCCCCATCCCCGTGTGCCCAGCCATCTCTTCTACTAACCTAAGTCTTAAAAAACCTAATATTATTGATATTTCTCTTAAATATTAATTGTGTGTGCATACCATCATAAAATTAAGATGTTATTTTTACTAGAACGTACATATTGTATCGGAAAAAGTGTAATTTGGGGGTCAGCCCAGTCTCTATTTCAATTAATCCCACATGTTCTGTTATTTCGTTTACGTGTTCCTCGTTTCACGCGGACCTCCACGGGTTTAACTGACCGCGTAAATCGAGACTATACTGTACAGTGACCCCTCGTTTAACGAACGCCTCGGTTAACGAAATTTCGGTTTACGAACTGCCTTCCATAAGGATCTTCAATTCGGTTAACGAACAAAAATTCGGTTAACGAATTTCTTACGAACCGACCTCAACATGTTTTCGCTTGCACTGACTGGGCAACCAGCTTTAGTATCAGTCCGCCAATACATTAATCGGTTCTAGGGCTTAAATTCCTTACTATTTTAGTAAATATCAAGAAGTTTATACTATTCAATAATTTTAAAAGTTTAATATTCAATTTTTTAGTCATTTTAACGATTATTGAACATAATTGAAGGTAAAGTGACTAGTTAAATGCGCGGCATCCAGCCTCTTAACACAGCAAACAGGCGTTAGTCTCTCTCTGTTTTCACTGGAGGTAACATCTTGCTTGAGACTCTCTTCAACTAAACACTTTTTTTCTGTGTTTCCAAGCAAATTATTGGTCATTTTGAAATATATTTTACATATTGACAATATATAATGCAGTGCAGTGTTGATTTAAAGAAAATAATCTTGAATTACACCAAGAGAGCTAAAATTTTATGGGTGAAATGGCACCAAGGGGTGACTTCTCTTCCACCCCAATGCCTTCTCTTCTTCCTTCTCCTCCACCCCCATTCTAAATCCCATCATCATCATCATCATCATCCAGGAGCCTTCTACAAACACACCTCAAAGTAAGTGAACTTTTCTACCATTTTTGTTGAATTTAGGAAATTTTCGGTGAGCTGGAACCAATTACCCAAAAACCCATTGAAACAATGGTTTCGGTTAACGAACTTTTCGGTTTACGAACGACCTTCTGGAACGGATTGAGTTCGTTAACCGAGGGGTCACTGTACTTTATTAATATAGCACGGACTTGAGGGTAGACTGTCAAATTTTTAATAAATTTGTTTCTGATTATTTGTGAGAGGATTTTCCAATTATTATTTATTTGTATGTGTGTGTCTACACACACACAAACACATACACAATACAACAGATAAAAGAAATAATTGTCCTAAGGGTCATTTTGAGAACCTAAACCCCGCGAATTTGGGGGACCCGCTATATTTGCAAAATGACAGACGAGATGTCTTTTTATGTGTCATGCTAAATACTGTGAGACTAATTAGAGAATCTACGTACTGTAGCCTCAGGCTTTTATGCTTCAACATGGTAAATATACACTCACACTACTACAGTATACTATATAACCATACTCAGAGAATATTTACAGTGCAGTAGTTACAGCACAATCACTATGTAGCCAATCTAGCACAGAACATTTATATGATGTCTATTTACATTACAGTAAACCATTAATAAAGTTATAACTCTATAATAAAGTCATTATGTGCCTAATGTTGCAAAAGTATTAACAAAAGTTTATATTCTCAGGCACAATTATCACAAGAACTGAGCATGTACAGCTCCTCCCCGACTTATGATGGAGTTAGGGACCCAAATCCAGGTCGTAAGTCGAAATGGTCGTAAGTCGAGATGGTCGTAAGTCGAAAATGCTTAAATAAAACATAGAAAATCTAAAATGGGTGTCTCTTTTTCGTCTCAGCATCACAAAACTCTCACTTTTAAGCTTGCCAGCCATTTTAAAGTGAATTACAAACGAAAATTTTGGTACGACTGAGGCAGGTCGTAAGTGCAGGTGGTCGTAAGTCGAGTAGGTCGTAAGTCGGGGAGGAGCTGTAATCAGTAGTCACAATGTAACCACCTCAGCACAGTACAGTTAACAGTTACATGGCTTTTAATTACATTACACCACTAATACAGTCGCAACATGATAATAATATCCTTGTGCATAAACTACATCAGCATTAACAAAACTCAATGTTCTTTGGCACAATTACCATGAAAATCGAGAGCACTTGTTCCAGTGATACAAGCCACATAATACTTAAGTGGTGAGGGGAGGCATGGGCGGGAGTGTTACCAATGCAGAGCCACAACCCTGGTCCCGTTCCTTTCTCTAAGCTGAAAAAAATTGTGCCTTAGGGAGTTTTTACTGCATATTAGTCATGTGATGGTCCTGGATATTAACGAGAAGAGGTGAGACTTGATGTACAGTGCAGGAGAGCATGCTAAGTGACCAGACTCAACTCGCTCATATACTTCAAGTCACCCTAAAAAAAATCTATAAGGGATGGTGTGATGGAATGTGTAGCTGGTAAACTTAAGGGGTTGATAAATCACCATGGCTAATGTAATTGAAGAATAAGAGGTACAGTATATCTTAGTTCCTAGTAAGCAGTCTGTTAATACAAAATTCACTGCAGCTGTATAATTACTAGGCCTACCCCCTTGTGTGGGGTGTGAGTGGCCGGCCTAGAGTGACTAGCTCAAGGTCTCCCCACACATTTGACAGGGATACCGGGTGGAGGGATGACAAGTTTACCCCAACAATGCATAAATTCACCGCCACGTCTGGTCTAACTGTACCAAACCTGATGGTCTCAATTGCAGTTTTTCCAGCTGTTCTTCACCAGGGAAATCCTGTGGAGACAAATATGTATGCAGACTTGATAGCTGTTGTGTTAGTGGGTGAGATGACTGGGTGTACCATGGTAAATAAGACTGACATTGCCAAATTTCTGAAGCTTTTCATGTTAATGGGGCAAGTGAAATTGACAGAAATGATGCAGTACCGGTCCACTGACTCTTTTTACTACCATCCCCTATATTGACAAACTATGAGTGGAATATGCTTCAAAGCCATCATAAGATACTTCCACTCATAAAACAACAAGGCAGTGCCCCAGATAACACCTATAAGCTGATCAGGGTGCACACAGTGAAGGAATACTTTACTGAGAGGTTCAGGACGGCGTACACACCTGTCGCAGGTTGGAGGCATGACCGGGCCACCCTTCATTCAGGGTCTATCAGCCCAACAAGCTAGACAAATACATCCCAGCAGAGGCCGGGTCTGGCCATGTGTACAACTTAGAAGTATACAGTGGCAGGTAAAAGTCGACCCACGACATGGTGTGTGACCTCATACATCCTCTGCTGCACAAGGGGTACATGTTATACATGGACAACTACTACAACTCAGTATCCCTGTGTGAGAGTCTCTTCAGTGAAGGAGTCTACATGTGTGGCACCATGAGGCTAATTGGTGGGGCACCGAAGGAGCTGCAGGTGATGGCCAAAAAGAAGATGGCGGATGACACTGTTGTCGCAAGATATAAGGGGGGGGGGGCATGATGGTGCTGCTATGGAAAGACAAGAGGATTGTCCCTAAGGTCGCAACCTTCCATTCCAATGACACAATCCCGAAGGTTTGCTGCACCAAGGTCAAGGTTGAGGGCCACAGCACACTGAAGGTGGAGACCATCAACAAGTCTGCCGTGGTGGAGAACTATATCAGCATATGAGTACAGGGGTGAACCACTTCCACCAAATAGTGAAGTATTATCACTTTACAAAACAAACACAGAAGTGGACCAAGAAGATACTGTTCTACTTCCTGTAGATTGTGGTCTGCAATGCGTTCGTCTTATATACAGTAATAAATTCACCCATGACAAACCAAAATTGATGCTACTCCACTTCCATGAAACCATCAGTATAGCCCTCATCAACTTTGTCCCAGTTGAGTGGCCTTTTTTAGTCATGTCCTCCACCACACTCCTGATCGTGGTGACCCACACCCAACCTCAGCCGCAGATGATGACTACCTCTCTCAATGACACTCATCCACAAGCAGGGCAGCAGGAACAAGCCCCACCTTCACCACCTGCTAGCCTACCTAGCCTCCAAGCAGAGCAGCAGGACCAGGGTGTTGCTGTACAACTGAGGATTACTGGTGGGGAGAAACCCAGGAAAACAAAGGTATTATAATGGACAATGATTATCGACTGAAAAAAGAAATTGGTCATTCTCTCATCAAGATCACTTACAAAAAGCGCCTGAAATGACAGGTGCGCACCAAGAAAGGAGTCAGGAAGGATAATGCCCAGTGTAGAATATTCCACTGCTTGGTCAACTGCTACACTCATCACAGCAGTATTGGGTGTAAATTTAATTTTTTACATTACACTGTTTAACATCAATTTATTAACATTATTTGATAGGTATGGGATATCATTGTTGTTTTGTATAGGCAGGGTTGTGTTTTAACCCAACCTATGGAATTAACACTGTTCTGGCTCATGAACAGATTGCCTTGGGAACAGGGACCAGGAATGTAACCAGTTCAATTGTCATGGTATCTCAAATTTATGAAATTTTTTACATGATTTACAACAGCATCTTGTCATTTATCATTTATGACACTTTTTTCCAACCCTGGTTGCCACAGAGGGAGTACGCCTAGTACAGTAATTATACAGCAACAATGAAAGAGTTAATCAGTGATGAGGTACATTAAGCTGACTCTGGTAATGCTGAGGAGTATATAGACACGTTTCTAAAGCTTTTGACAAATTAAATTAATAGCACATCAGTATACAATGCTGTATTTTGGTGGACAAAAGTCCCTTCCCCCAGCCTTCCCTCTCTGGCCCCATCCCCCGTCATACGCACTACACAGTGCACCATCTGTTGGACGATTACAGCACTTCCCTCAGTTGCTTTGTTATTCGAACCTCAGGTGATTCAGTCATATTATAGCTGGCTAAGGGAAGGGACTTTTGTCCACCATTGTGCATAGTCTTCCAAGTTCTGAAGTAGAAATTCATTGCACCCATTTTAGTCATTATACTGTATAGCACATTTGTTTTTGAGGGGAGGGGGTGGGGGAGTACCGTATGTGCTGATACATGTACACACAGTAAAAAAAGTATCGCGCAGAGGGGGGGGGGAGTCAACTGACTTCCGTAATGATCCATACATCACCTGATGTGTTCATGTTCAGTTATACCATCAACTATATATACGGCAGGATATGCCATTAGCAACAGATATGTGAGGACACCGGGGCTACCACCATAACACAGGACCAACAACATATTCCACTATCCCTCGTGTGTGGTGTCATATTGTTTTGCACATAACCTGTGCGGTACTTTTTTACTGTGTGTACATGTGTCTGACTTCTTTGCTTCCAACCTTCTAGAGGTCCCGCAGAGGTCAGTAAATAATGTGAGTGAGCAAACACTTGAGTTAGAACAAGCACTACTTCATGCAGCCTCCTTGTACAGTACAGTGTACTATATCAAACTTTTCTCCTCATTTAAGGATCTCCAAGCATTACTTTTCTTCTTCCCAGTAAAGTACCAAATGTTCAGTACTCTATTTTCAAACTTTGCTTTTATAAATGACTAGATTATGAAATGTAGCAACTATAGTTGACTTACAATTTGAGTCCTAAATCCATTCTTGACTTTGTCGCCGCCGAGGCCAGTGACCCGCTTGCAGATGTGGTGATGAGGGTTGGTAGGGGAGCGAGCTATGATGACGTCTCCTCTACTGATGCGGTTCAAGCGGGCAGATAAATGTTCAGTAAGAATAACATCCTCCGAGAAGATAGTTGGTTCCATTGAGGGGCCTTTACACTGGGGAGGTGGAGAGAGACAAAGAAAATCAAACATGGCTTATAATTTGTGGTACAGTATTTCCTATTCACATAATCCTTAGAATGATCCCTTACTCTAATTCTCCCAAGTAGCATTTGAGTGATTAATTTTCAGGTAAAATAAGCTAGGGGAATGGGGTGATCTGAATAAGGCACAACATACAGTACATCTTTTCTCTCAGTGTTGAATAAAATGTCTCACCAAGTCTGCCAGCGATGCTCTTCCAAGAAAGCAAAATAAAAGAATACCATCGGTTATTTGACTGGGACCTGCGGGGATTGTGTACGATTTACCATGATTTAAATGGGATTCTGGTCAGGATAGTTGTGGGCATTACACTATTATTTAAATGCTGAATGCATTATCACTATCTTCCTTAATTTTTCAACTTGCAATTTCGGGTAGATATATGTAATTTTCTTCATTTTGTTTTTACTCCGTTACATGTACACACAATCATTTAACTAAAAATTTTGAGAAAATTTTTTTATAAGGTCAAAAACACTTCTTACATGTGCTGGGTAGGGGGAAGGGGAGGATGGAGCAGCATTGCCAGCTCACTGTCTCATGCATAGTAACAAGATTGCCAAGTGGCAATGCAATATATATTTTTTCATTCATTTTTTTTTATTCATCACATTTACTGGTACAATATTATTTTATGTTCTGTATAAACAATAGCTTCCACACGCAAACCATCCTCTGGGCAATGTGACACAGTTCAACTGCTTAGCCTGATAGTCACCAGGGACGGGCAGAGCCCCCCTTGAATCCCACATGGGTCGTACATGTTATGTACACTCCAAGTTTGTGTCATTATATCTTGGAATATTGCTAGCTATTGCACATTGCTTTTTCATAGCAGTGACAATGCAGGAAAAGCATTTAGGTAGCGACCATCATAAAACTGATCTTTGACATCACATAGTGGTAAATGGTGTTGATTTTTTAACATCGAAAAACTGATCGATCTGGTATAGATCCATCGTATAATGGTAATTGCCTGTATTCTCTCTCCACACACATGACCCCTTCCCACTACCATCATAATCCTGCAGCTGCCTCCTTAAATATTATGGTCTAGAGAAGAACATCTCACATAGACCATCCTGCACTACACTGTAAATAGATTAACAAAAGAAAGTTGAGATGTCATAGGAAAACTAAACAATTCCCCTTTAATTACGAGCAGAATTATGTACAGTACTGTACAGTAACTCAAAAAAGTACTGCATCTACCAACAAGGAGGGTTGGTATGCAAGGCCCTGTGGCATCTTACTGCAATACATTTGGTAACCGAACTTCATATTAATTGCGCTGGAATAAATGCACATTGCATTACTAATGTTAAACTACTGTATATACCAAAGTAAATGCATGGCCCAATATCTATCATCTGTGCTTTCATAATGCTTCACAAGGAGTATGGACAGATACTTTTTTGAGATACTGCACAGGAGAAATCAACATTAGTGGAAAAAGTCAGTTTAACATTTACATACGGAAGGCCAGATACTACACACTGATCAGTTGCTAAAGAATTTAATCAACAAAAACCCAGACTGCCATCACCTACAGTACAGTACAGAGATGAAATATAAGTTCTCAACCCAAATCAATCTTTACCACGACAAAGTCTCCAACAAACTCGAGGGTGCAGTGAGCAATGCATCCATACTGGACCATGTAACCAGCCACTCCCAGCCACTTGCCCAGGAGGCGGTAGACACCCGACCGCATCACACTAGAGCTGCATCCTGCCACCAGTCCTCAAGCTGGAATAAAGCTTTAGGAGTTTACTTACGCCAGGATGTGCAATTAACAAATGGGATGGGTTACAGGGTATTTAATAATGGATATGTTTTTATATGTAGATAGATGCCAAAGATGTAGGCTACAGTATAAACAAAAGCTGGCATACAAGACTCACACATAAAATAGAATACAGTAAATAAAACGTATAACTTAAAATGAATTACAAGTACGTACAGAGTGAATTCCATTTTTTTATGCCTCACTGTACAGGAGCAGCAGTCCTATCCACCTGACTACACAAGCAATTATAAAGTACTGTACATGTAATATAACTTATCATACACAAGATGAACAAACAACACTTACCTAAACGTCACCCAATTAACAACTTTTGCTAAATTAATATCTACCGCAAGCAACCATTCAAGAATTAGCATAACCATTCCCCATCTCTCCATTACACCAAATATAACTAAACTTATCCCATACAATATAATTATACTTACATCTATATTAAAGTGGGCGTATAAGGTAATCTAAAGTTAAAACTACATACACGGTTGTTTCAGAGAATTGACTTTGTTGACGTCTGCTGACTGGCGGTCTACTCACATCATGTCTGGCTCCTCTGTCCTCCATCAATGTTTCAGTGGCAACAAAGACCAACATTATGAAATGGCTTAGTTTTTTTTTCTGATTATTTTCTTTTTTTACTTTTTACTTTTATCCTCTTCGCCACTGATCGGCTTGTTAGCCGCTTGGGCGATCGGTCACGTCTCTTTTCATTTATATTCTTCGCCACTGATCGGCTTGTTAGCCGCCCGGGCGATCGGTCACGTCTCTGTCACGCACTGTTGGCAAATACTGGGCATGCACCGGCTCCTGAATGTACCTGAACCCGCTCCAGTGTTGGTCAAGTCTTCTCTTGAAAGAGCTCACTCGGTGACGTCACAACACTCTCTGGTAGATTGTTCCAAGAGTTTACAACCCTCACTCCGAAAAAGTTTGCCCTCACGGTTTTCTGGACTTGCGGCTTCTTCAATCTTGAGCTTTCTGTGACCGCTTGTGGGGCGAGCGTCCGCCAGCTCAAGTAAGGACACTCAACAGGTAGTGCCCCTGAGATGCTTATACACACCTCAACTAGGTCCCCCCTTGCTTGCGTCTGTATAAAGCTAGGCAAGTTCAGGCTCCAATCTCTCCAGGGGCAGCTTTCTGAGGTGCCGAAGTGCAGGCACCAGTCTGGTGGCCCTCCTTTGAACATTTTCAACCAACTGACAGTCCCTAGCATATCTCGGGGACCAGATGGGGTGACAGTACTCCAGATAGGGAAGCACTTCACTCCTGAAGATCTCTACGAGGGACGGACCGTCTAGATATCGGAACGACCTTCTTATACGACCCAGTAATTTATTTGCCTGATTTACCTTCTTCTCGCAATGGCCTGAGAACTTCAGCTCCTTGTCAACATACACACCTAGGTCCTTCTCACACACAGTCTCCAACTAGTGCACTTTCTTCATCCCGTTGGGACATATGATACCTCCTTACCATTGGTACGCTCCAGGTGCATCCTCTTACACTTCGTGACATTGAATCTCAGCAGCCATTTCTTCGACCATTCCTGGAGCCCACAGAGGTCCTTCTGCAGCTCTTCACAGTCCGCTTGGTTCTTAATTTCCCGAAATAACTTGCCATCATCGGTAAACATTTGTATGGAGGAGTGTACAACGTCAGGCATGTCATTTATGAAACAAACAAACAACAGCGGGCCCAATACACTGCCCTGTGGTACCCCACTTGTTACAGGTACAGATGACGATTTCGTGCCATTAATCACCACACACTGCTTGCGGTCATGTAGAAAGTCTTCTATCCACGCTAGGACATTTCCCCGAATTCCGTACCCTTCCAGTTTGATTTTCAGCCTTTCGTGGGGTACACTGTCGAAAGCCTTGGCAAAATCTAGGTAAATATTGTCGATATTACCACCCCGTTCTAGAATATGGGTTCAAATATCCAATACCTTGAGCAATTGTGTTAAGCAAGAGCGCCCCGGCATAAAACCGTGTTGGCAATCGTTTACAAGGTTGTTTCGTAGTAGATGTTCCATCGCGGCATCTCTGATAATACTGTACTCTCAAGTACTTTACATATTATGCTGGTCAGGCTCACCGGTCTATAGTTGTTCGTGGAGTGACTATCGCCCTTCTTGAAGATAGGACTCGCATAAGCCACTTTCCATTCACTGGGGACCATTTGTTCATCCAGGCATTTACAAAACAGAATCTTCAGGGGCTCTGCAAGCTCGTTGCACAGCTCTCTTAGCACTCTAGGATGCACCATGTCAGGTCCAGGACTCTTATGGACCTTTAGCCTGGACAGTTTATTTCTAATACCCTCTTCTGTGAACACAATGTGGGTCAGTGCTGTGTCGAACCGTCTGTCCTCAAACGCAGGAAGGTTAGTTGCATCCTCTCTTGTGAACACTGAGGAAAAGAAACTGTTCAATGCCTCAGCTTTATCCTGGTCAGAATCTGCGTAACTACCATCTTCAAGCCTCAGGTCTGATACTCCTACTCGCGTTTTCAATTTCGACTTTGCATAGCGGTAAAACGCCTTTGGGTTTGACTTGACCTCGCGTGCAACCAGCCTTTGGAACTCCTTTTCAGCCCTCCTACATTCTATCTTTGCTTGGTTTCTGGCTCTTGCATACATCCTCCTGTCTTGCTCATCGTTTGACCCAACCCACGTCTTGAATTTCTGGGTTTTCTTCTTAATTTTGTCGACCGCCGCATGGTTCATGTGTAGGGATCCCCTCGTATTCCTAGAAGCACTGGGTTTGGTCTTGGGTATATATTTATCGATCAAATAGGTCATTTTACTAGTTATGATATTCAGCGTAGTGTCTGCGTTCTTGTACCTTAATAAGTCAGGCCAGTTGATACCCCTCATCTCTTCCCTCATCCCATTGTAATTTCCCTTGTAATATTTGCACCTTGGCCTGGCCTTATCTTGAACTAGGTAACAGTTAAATCTGAATGACAACACTGTATGGTGACTGGTGCCAACTGGGGTAAGGTGTTCCAGTTTGGCCACCATACCCTCCTCGTTTGTTATGATGAGGTCAAGTGGCTTGGGTGTTTGTTCCCCTCTGTAATGTGTCGGGTCTCTCACATGTTGGAACAGAAAATTATCTCTCAGAGTTTCTACAAAAAGAGTAGCAGGATTATTCAAGTCATTCGGGGTGGACTCGTTTCTCCAGTCGATGTCGTCATAGTTAAAGTCCCCCATGATAAGGAGGTGGCTGGGGTTGAGCATCGCCGCATTGTTTATTAAGGTTCTTAAGTTCCTTTGATTTAGTGGGCCACAGTTTGGGGATCTGTAGATACACCCGACGATAAGTAAGTCCCCTCCCTTTAATTTAATTTTACACCACTTGGACTCTTCAAAGACATCCTCTCCCTGTACCCTCGCCTGGCTGGCTCTAAGGTCTTGCCTAGCGTAGATAACCACACCCCTCCTGCAGGATTCTTGAGTTAGGTTCGTAAATGAGTCATATCCAGCAATACTGAACTCACATTCCTCTGGGTCGATTCTCCTGTTCTTGTACAACAGTTCTACAACTCCTACAATATCTGGTTGGTGTACTCTTAGTAGTGTTTCAAACTCCTCTCTCTTATCAAGGAACGTGTCAGTATAGCTTATTACGACATTCGCTTGTGAATTTGTTCTCAGTAACGTTCCTGCTCTTAGTATTGAACCCGCTTCCCCCATCTCAAGCAGAAGCTGCAGCATTTAAGCAAGGCCACTGTATTTTGCAGGGTGTGGTTAGAAATACTGTTTACACAGCTCGTTCTCCTGTCCGTAGGCTGAGCTGGTGCCGCTTCCCGGTGGGGGTTGAGTGGGTGGAGGGTGCACTGTAGGGAGTGACAGTTTGGCAAAAGTTTTCAAAATCTAATTGCTTGGGTTGATTATCACCATCGGCCACGCTGGTTTCGAATATGTTTGAGTTTTACATCATTGCATTAGAAGGTTTGTGATGGCCTTTTGGGCTTGGCATGCAAAACCGTAAATAATAAAGGGACTGGCAATGTGGCACAACCTGTTAAAATCAAGTTATTGAATTGATTATTCGACTACTGTGTACACTGGTTCATAATATGCTATTGTTTACAATCAGCGCCACAAATTATGCCGCATATTTTTGCTGCAAGTCACCACATAATGATATTTCGAAAAAACTAGTTTGTTTATTAACGGGTGTATAGATTCCCGTGGGAATGAATTCAGTGACATTCCCGCTCATGGAATATTTACCAAACCTGTATATGTGCCAATGGCAGGCCAATGGCAATATTTACAGAGTTTGCTGGAGGCTCCCTGACGCAATGCCCTGAATTTATTCCACGGAATCTATTCACGCCGTTGGTAATATTCGCATTCAGGACTGATCAATCTAATTGCGCCTGGGTAGCTTGACTTGGACAGTTAAGGACATTGTAAATCTCAGTCCAGACTTTTGAATAAAATATTGTTCAATAGGTGGTGATATTGAAGTGCTGGAAAGTTGCTTTTTTCTGTGTTGTTTTGCAGCATTCAAAGGGCCGCCACCAAGATGGGTCGTCCTAAGATTTCTAGCAACACTCAGCTAAAGCAGGGTAACGATAAGGTGTTCCGGGTTCGATGCCTCTGCCATCTAACAAGTTGCCTCTTGCTCAGCAGTTAAAGTGCCCTGGCTATGAAGCAGAAAAACGAGAGGTTAAGGAGAAGAACAAATGCTTTTGATTATAGGCGGATGCCACCAAGGTGACCTGAGAAGGTACTGATGTATAGGAAGGCCACTGTCCCCACTATCTCTGAAATCAGGGTGAAAAATGAGAGTCTACCACCTGTGGAGGATGCGGAGGGAGACGATGATGATGAAGGGAAATGGACAGAAACAGAAAAAGGAAGAAAAACGAAGAACGGGAAGCTGAAGATGAGGTTCGAGGATATAGCTGAGAAGCGTTTGATGTGGCAGACGACAGCAAAGTGCACGAATAACCTTATATAGTGCTTCCTGGCAGCCCAGAGGAAACCGAAGGAGGGTTGCATTGATGGCGTTGACAAAATTGTGACTGCTAAGCTGAAAGAAGAGAGGGAGAAGGAAGGAAGAGGGCAAAAGAAAGGCTGAGGAAAAGAGAGGAAAACTGAGAAGATGAGGCCAAAGAGTAAGGAGGAGATGGAGAGGATGTCGTAAAGTGTCAGGCAGTGGATGACAGTGCTCAGGAAGAAGATAGTGATTATATGATGTCAATGACAATGAGTTCGCTATGGTTTACAGGAGAGCAAGATCAGAGAAAAGGAAAAGGGAGAAAGAAGTCGGGTGATTGGTATCTCCGAGAAACTGCTGACAGGTTCAAGGTATCCAATGATGCAGTGGCTCACATAGCAAACAACACCATCAGAGCGTAGACAACATCATAACTAAAGGGACAAGTCTAAAGTGACTAACTGGAAGAAAGTGGAGAGACGTATGTGGTGACTTGCAGCAAAACACGCATAATTTTGTAGCGACAGCCAAAAAACAATAGCATATTATGAACCAGTGTACACAGTAGCTCTAATAATCCCAATTCAATAACTTGATTTTAACAGGTTGTGCCACATTGCCAGTCCCTTTATTATTTACAGTTTTTTCACATTTTTCATGCCAAACCCAAAAGTATCCACACAAACCTTCTAATGCAATGATGTAAAAACTCAAACATATTCGGAATTAGCGTACGATAGACAAATAATCCAACCCAAGCAATTAGATTTTGAAAAACTTTTGCCAAACTGTCACTCCCTAGTGCACTGCTGCCCCTGGCCCTGTGTCGCACACTTGTTTCCACTCACTCCTCCCTGAGTATAACCCATGTACACCTGTCCCCTGCTCCTCCCACTCCTCCCTCTTCTGCTTCAGTTCTGCAGGAGCTTTTTGTGCTGTTCCCTCTGCATTATCAGTAAGCGGTTCAGGAATAAATACATCCCGAAATGCCTCAGCCCTTGCTAAGTTTTTGCCTGCCGTAATAACTTGCCATTTCTCCTCCTCACCTCCCAGTGTGACCTCCTATCGAATAGACCCTTTCCTATGATTTTCGTGTTAATAAAGTCTTTCATAATGAACTTGTAAGAATATCTTTCCAAATCCGTGCCCGGTTGTAGCGACAATAGGTATACTGTAGCTAATGATATCTTTGATGATCGTTATTTATCATTTCACCATTTATCAGCCCATTAGCCGTTCTGGCGGTTAAAGGGTTCCACTTATCATTTATTTTTCAAGCAAAATTTCCGAAAATAGTTTCTGATGGTTGACGATAGTATGTATTCAAAAAATCATATTAAACTCCTGTATTTCTGCAAATTCTGTTTATACCCATGTAAATATATTTTTAATCACCTTCAAATAGTTAGTTATCAATACTGTACATTTTCAAAATTTTCTCCCTCATTTCTTCATGGCTGAGGAATCTCCAGTCCAGCTTATTTTACCTAAAGATTAACCGGTTTACTAAGCTGCCTGCAGTCTACCAAGCTGGAGTTGGTCCACTGGGAATATTTACTCTGTAGTGACAATTAACTTAACCTAGGTTAGGTTAAGTTATGTTAGGTTAAGTTAGGTTAGGCTAATGGATGCTACAGTTTAATTATCCCAGTAGACTGCATAATATAGTAGCACTGATTAACCAACCTGTAACAAGACGGATCTTGCATAAAGAATATTTATATATATAGGTAGAATATTTAAGAAGAGAAATGTAAAGAGAGGAACAATTTGGTAGCGTGGCCGTTGTTAATTATTTGAACTGTCAATACACTTATCTTATACGTCAATACACATCTATTACGTTCTTAAGGACGACTTCTCAAACACCGCTTCGTCACAACTGTTTATTAATTACGACAATGACATGGACAATAACACCTTCTATCGAAGTTACTAGGACATCATATTACGTTACTAGGACATCATATTACGTTACTAGACACTGATTCTCGGACACGAACAAGAAATGAATACACTTCCCACGTAACTCATCCCATGGAAAGCTCTGACAAAAACTCACATGACCTGGGGGAGGCGTAGCAGGTGGTCCTGGGTTGTCTCCATGGGAGACTGCTTAGCTGAACACCGGAGGGAAGTCTCGCGCCCGACCTGAGGCGGCTGCCTCCAGCCCTCTCTGTCTGACTTCTCTCGAGCGGGACTCGGGACATTGTAGCTGGCCCTTCTTGGTTACAAGACACACTCTCTCTCTCTCTTTCTCGTTGGGGAGGGTTACGACGTCCTATATATTGGGAGACGAGCTGTCAGGTTGAGCTGAAAGGGGGGCGGCGAAGGGTCTCCTTCCATTTGACCCCGCTAATGTAAGGTCAGGTCTGGACTTTTTCAGAGCTATAAGTTGTTGTATATTTTGGAGAAATCTTCAGATGAATGGGGTCTTGTTAACATCGTTGGTGGGGCCGTGTGACATGAGAGGCTCTGGTTGATTTGTGGCCCCTTGACTTGGGCTGCGAGGGGTCCCTTTACATTTGACCTCCCTAATGTCGGGTCAGGTCTGGACTGTTTCTGGTCTGATAACCCATCACTACAAACCTAACACTAACATTACCCAACCTCACCCCCCTAAATAGTGTTAAGAATGGTTAATCTTTAGCCGGTTCATGCCCAGTACTTGCCAAGTGGTTAACAAGCCGATCTCTGGCAAAGAGGATAAAAGTACATAGTACTGTATATAAGCCCCACTTCTGCCAAGTTGTTTTAGAAGTTCTGACAAAAGTTGATCAACTCCACTCACCTTGTCAGCTTCCTAGTTTGTCAGGTGGTCGATCTATTCTGTTACACACTGTTGGCAAGTACTGTATTGGGCATGTATGGGCTCTTGAATGTTCAGTCAGTAAAATAAGTTTCGACCATCCCAAGGTTGATGGAATAGACTGATGCCGGTAACAACAGGTGTAAGTTTACAGTTTTCACACAATGTTTATGTTGTTATGCACTACAAGGTGGTCGATACATTTTTATTGACTACCTGAATACAGCACATTTATCTTCAAAGGGCTAGTAGCTTGGTTTTTGTTTAATTTTTGTTTCATACACACCTGTACTGGTAACACAGTATTTTATATCAGTGAAAAATGTTATACTGCCTATGGTCAAGGATAGCATGAGCCAGGAGCACTTATAATACTGCAAAATTTATATAAAAAAGTGTTCACAATACAACAGTACAGTACACTATATACAGTAGTTATGTAATGAAGAAGAAAGTGAAAGAAATATGTACAATTAAAGATATCGGACTTGATAAATGTTAGAAAAATAACTCAACAAGCAAGTGGGTGAATGAGTGAGTCGGTGGATGAGAAAACACATGAAGTTGAAGGTATATTGGTAACTAAAAATAAAAATAAATTATATAAGATAAAATAAGTTAGGCAGTTTTATTTTTAATGAATTCATGAAAGGTCATCATCTTTTCTCCTTTCTTGTATTTCTTATTTTCCTTGGGTTTGTGAGCAGCTGGAAAGGTGACAGAAGTGTAAGTTCCTTCATACTTCGGAGTTCCAGAAATAATTTTTAATATGTCAAGGCTTCCTGATACGCTGGATGATGGCGAGTCTTGTTGCTTGTCATTGGAATTTTCCCTCAGCTGTGACGCTTGTAATTCATAATCTTTTATGATGCTTGAAAATGACCCGCCCCTCATCTTTGGTGCTCTGGGAAGTTTGTTTTTGGGTCTAACAGCCTTCTTAGCTGAAAGAGGAGAACTATGGTAACACTTTAATACTCATAAGTCATGACAATATACTAAACTATGGAAATATTTTCATACTTATGAATAAAATAAAATTGTCATACAGTAAAGGTACAGTACTTACAAGTGGGTGCAAAACCATTAAAGGACAACAAATTATAGTACAGTAATTTAATACAGTACAGTAAACCCTTGTTACTCACGGGGGTTAGGTTCCAAGGACTGGCGTGAACAGGCAAAACCGCAAATAGCACTACTGTATACTGTACCTATACCAAACAACCGACCAGCCGCAGCAGCACTCATCCTCTCCTTTAACTTGTCTTATAATTCAACTTCTGCCTTTTATGTTTCACTTCACTAGCAATGACAATAGACAGTCTTTTAGGGGTCATTTTCACACAGAAACTTTAAAGTTTTGAGAGTACCCGGTACAACACAAGATACTGAGGGAAAAGGCTCGTAAGCTAGCCATCATAGCCACCATTTGCTTACCGTGAATCATCGAAATCGCAAATTGCAAATCCGCGAATGGCAAGGGACTACTGTACATGTTAATGAACACTACTTTCTCAAAATGAATTAGGATTCAGCAACTCTGTATAATCAGTAAGTCTAGGGTTGATACTCCAGGACTCAGGGAATTAAGGATCATATAAATTTGATAAGATTATACAGTACATAACCTTTATAAAATACCGGGTGCTAAAAGATAACCACTTGGTAAGGGGTACAGTATCATATGAACATGAAGGTTTGAGAGATTTGATGCTCAGCATAACATGAACAGTTCTCATCTGTTCATTTTCTTGTTGACACTGGCTGTAAGATTTACTCCATCAGGATTAACAAACTCCAGATGCAGCTCACCTCTGCAGCCCAAACAGAGGAGGAGGAGGGATGGCTAGTTCCTTGATCTGAATTTGGCTATAAAATGGTTCAGAATTTCCACCCTACTGAACCCTCTTGTGGAATTCACAAGGCTGTTCCGTTCCCATAAACTCTAAAAATGGTATTAAAGGAGTCAGTATAGAAAAGTTGTTATTGTTGAATGTTTCAGTCTTCTTTCCTCAGGGGAGACTGTGAGCAAAGGTTCTGTGCTCTAAAAAGTTCACACACAAATGTGAAAGAGAAATCAGTGTAATTTTACAAATACAGTACAGTACTGTATACAGAAAAATATCATTACCTTTTGGTGTATTTTTGGGTCAGAGGGTGTTGTAACTGCCCTTGTTTTGTGTCACTATTGTTGACTAGACAATGGATAGAGGGATGTGACTCATGCTTTGGGAAACATGGTCAACAAACCTTTTTCCTCTTACTGACAGAACCATCTCAGAGATAGCTGGTTGAAAGAGCCCATGAAAAGTTCCTGTAAGTGCTGCCAGTGAACATTAATGCACATAAAATAGACTCTTAAAAGAAAATATTGTATGTGGATCTCTCCACTGCTGAATTATTCCTTGATTCCAGAACAAAACCCCCCAAAAGAATGTCCTGTAATTCTAATTCAGGCTTCACCAGGGTATCTCCTTCATCTAGGCTAGACACCCATGTCTTATAGAACATTTTTTATACAATATTCACTTTGGCTCAGTTACTTACTATGAAATCAAGCTTTCTTGATGCAGCATGGGTAAAGTGGCTCCAATACCACCATACTGACAAGTCAAACTCGATCAACAGCAAGACATAAAGAAGCCTTACAACATGAAAACAACAAAGTTACGAACCCTTTACTGTACAGTAATGCTTATACTGTACTGTACTGAGGATTGTGTGACCCAGCCAATAATTCCTGAGGTGTTAAAATCGGAGAGACAAAGCATAATAACTTCAAAAACAAGAGCCACTATTAACAGGGAGATAATTGACTGAAACTGTAAGCTATGATTTGGATTCCAACATGGCTGATCTGGATGATGGATGATGGATGAGGTGCACAGTCCGACACATGCTGTTGTTACATTATGACTTGTTCCTTCTACTTTATATGGCAAGAGTGACTTTTAGTATTATACTTTTGGGTAATAGTATGTAGTGATGATATGCATAAACAATTCATGACTTGGTCTCAGCCTTTGTGGTTGAAGTGTTACCTGTGTCACAACCAACAGACAAGGTAAGAGTATTATGTGAGTTGATTAATGAGAGGGCTTTTGGCTCACTCAAATACAAATTTCTAAACTGAACAGAGGCCATAACTAAGGTAAATATGTATGAATAATCCTGCTTATAAAACCCAACTCAAATATCAACAGTACTATAAAAAACTGTGTAAAAAAAGTTGTTTAAATCCCCAATGATTTTCTCAAGTTATGGAAAGAAAATGAAAGTTCACGTGGATGGAGTGGCAGGATTAACACCACGTGCTGCCCGCGAAATTTTTTTTCCCGAGGGCTTCCATCATCTAGAACAAGCGGCAACGTCGCAGTGTTTGAAGCACCACTGTACAATCAGCTGGTGGCGGAATGGAGGAGTCGGCCCCCCTACGCCAACAGCAAGCATTCGTTCTATCTTGGCCGTGCTGGCTAGGATAGATTAGGTTATTATTTCTTTGTATTAGTATCTATTACGTTAGGATATGCAATATTAAGCCAAGCATGAATGATCGTCTCATATTCTCTCTTTTTTACAGAGTGTACAGTGGTGCCACGCTTCAAACACTGCGACGTTGCCGTTTGTTCTGGATGACGGAAGCCCCCAGGAAAAAAAATTTCACGTGCTGCCCGGCTCAACTCAAAATGCTAAGTGCATAATAAAATTGGACATAAATACCAACTTACTGTAAGGTTCTTCATCATTATGGAACTTGAGTGTTTCTAATGTGGAAAGTATCTGATCTGGGCCAAGAGCAGGTACAGGATGAGTCTCCTTATTGCCCCTGAAATATTGATAAGTCATTATAAACAAGCATATTGCTGACTCAAGTTCTCTTACTGAATGTCAATACAGTACAGTACATATGAGGTGCTCTGAACCATAAAGATGACCAAACTTCATGTGATTGGTCCCATATGACTTTTGCTGTGGTGACTTTTTTTTTTTACGGGGATTAGCCCACCTGGGCACAGGTCAGTGACCCACATCAGGGCCTGGGGGGCGAAAATGTAATAATAGTAATAATAGTAATAATAATAAGAATAATAATAATAATAATAATAATAATAATAATAATAATAATACAAAAATTCATCATAAATTCTATAAAAAAATACAAAATTAAAAATAAAAACAATAAAATAGTAATACAGTAATAATAATAATAAAAACATAAAGCAAAACAAAAATGAAGAAAGAAAAAAGATCAAGAATGAGAAACAATATACAGTCACTCATCGACTTACGACAGGGTTCCGTCCCGAAGTCGTAAGTCGAAAAGGCGAAAATAATACATAGAAATTCTAAAATGGGTGTCTCTTTTTCTTCTCAATACTACGAGAACTCTCACTTTTAAGCTTGCCAGCCATTTTAAAGAGAATTACAAACGAAAATTTTGTCAGTACACAGCGCGAGCCATTTTAAAGAGAATTACAAACGAAAATTTTGTCAGTACACAGCGCGATCACTAACGCCAGGACTCGAAAATACGTACCGGTAATTTGAAAAATATTTTATAAGACCACGGCGGCCGTATGTCCGGGTTGTCGTAAGTCGGGTATGCCGTAAGTCGAGGAGTACCTGTATGTTTGTTGCATTGTCAATGGTAAGAGAAACAATTGAGACCTTGAAATTGTGTGTAAATGAGGCAGAAAGTCAGATCAGCAACCTGGGACTTGGTCACAATTTTGTGATGCCATATGGCAGCAGGGTTTACCATTTGACAATATATTACGCTTCTAACGTCTTCCCAGGTGGTAGTACCTCCCGTTTGATAGCTGCCTACTACCTACTGCACGAGAGGGTTAAGATACATTTACTAACCTGTTGTCAAATGTGTGTTGTAGGAGTCTGGCACTACCAAGCTGGCCTTTCGTATGCTTTTTCCACCGAGCTGCAATTGCCCTGTCATGTTTCTCTATTTCAGCTTCATTCTTCATAACCCACCTCACCTTCAGTAGTTTCTGTAATAATATTACTGATAAAAGATGTGAGAATTATAATATGTATTTGTATATCAAAATGTTTCCTTTACTTATGAACAGCCTATTAACCAGAATGAGATGTGACTCCCTCTGAAGGACTGGGTGGGAGGCAACAGCCTTGGCATCAGTACAGTAGATTCTCATGCTACCTCGAATATACTTTTACACATACAGTACTATATTCAGCAAAGTTGCTTACACAGTAACCTTCAAACACAGAACTTCATGCACAGTTATGTTTATCTAAAATGCTTCAGATTTCTACCCATTCTTTCTTCAAACTGATAATCATTTCTTCCTGTCGGTCTTCTCTACTTTTACCAAATTTTTTGCACCTCTCCACTAATCATTTATTTTGCAACCTTCTTACAACCTTATCTAAGAGAAGATCGTATAGTTTAATCATTGCAATATTACAAATATTTTGACATAGTCTTACTTTCACATTATTCAGAAACAAACTAAGGAATTTTATGCAATTAAATATCATGTTGATCACCTCAAGATTAGACACCCTAAGTTATTTCTTCTGATGATCAAACACCCTAATGTGACTTGGGAGGTTAGGTTAGGTCAGTATTAAGGTGTTTAATCTTCAGAGGATCCCATGTTTACCTGGGCACCAGCAGGAGAGATGGGAAAAGCTTTGGCCAGAGCGTCAGGAGTCCACATGTCTGGATCGGTGGAGTGTAAGTATCGTAACTGTTCTTTCATTGCCCATGTCAGCAGATTATCTTCTTTTGGTTTATAGTCCTTGAAGTATTTCTGCTCAATTGTTTTCTTGCGTTTGTGACTTTGAAACCTCTTGGCATAGCTGGAAACATAAGATAAGTTTTCTAATAAGACTTGATAGTTATACATGTTACAGCATAGTAAAATGGGTGAGAGGAACTGAGAAACAATGTGTTACACTGTATTGCTGAGAGGGTGAGACTAATGAAGGGGGTGGGGAGGTGACTGGTCATAAATAACTATCCTGGTTTTATAAGAGGTTTTGGGATAAACCCTATTTCATCTGGTTACCTTCTGAATTTAATCACCTGTACTTCCTTCCTAAAAAGTACTGTCCTACAGTATACTGCATACTGGATTATAGTTTAGGACAGAAGTGTTTGAGGAAATATATGATACCAGTACAGTATTACACATACAATTCAATCTGTGAGGATTGGTGCTTCATAGCCTCCATGTCTTGACTTGATACAGCTTCTATATCATCAGCATCCATGTCTTGCACATCCTCTTCTGGTATGTTAAAGCCTCGTATAACATGTCGGACACCACGGGCTGTTTAGGAAAATATTGTACAGTGTTCTGGAGAGTAGCTAAAAGTTATCTTTATTAACAACTCATTCACAAATCACAATTAGTAGATCAAATGATGCTTGTACAATATGTGTTGCCCGTCTCCTTGTGTTTGGCTGTTGTGATGGTATATTTAAGTGATACAGTGATATTTAACCCTAATTTTTGTGTATTCTGTGTGTGAGATAACTACCAAACCTTCCGCAACTTCTCTTCATTTTCTTATGTTCTGGATATACTGTACAGTAATCTTAAATAGTTTCATGATTAAAATCTGGAAAAATTGTGCAGGTAACTGGAAAATATCCAACTTAGTGACTTTTGTCAGGTAAAAGTATTATTACTCATAACTAAGTGGAATTCCTTCTTAATTAGAGTGGCCACACACCAATTACTTTGGTTAAGGAAGACTTTACTGGAACCACCTCAAGATTTCCCCACCCAACTTACTTCATCTGAAGATTAACCACACAAACAATAACCTAACCTATCCGAACCACCAAAGTACAGTACCAATAGGGTGGGAAATTTTCAGGTGAAATAAGACAGACAAATCTTCAGGTGACAGGGCTACACAGTACAGTACAGAATACAACAACAAATGTATTACTCCACTGACCTGAAAGAGGTGCGGAAGTGCTGATATATTTAGGGAGGATGAAGGACGTCCAACTCTTCCCCGTTGTTGTTAAAAGGGCTGCCATGTTCTTCACACCAAACTGTTAATGAAAAAATGTCTTAATAAATTGAACATAAGGTTGTTTATACAGGTTGACAACCCTTTATCCGAAAACCGAAAAGCTCTAAAAACCGAAAGTTTTTTGTGGGTCATTTTTTTTTTTTTTTAACAGGGATTAACCCACCCGGGCATAAATTACTGACTCACATCGGGGCCTGGTGGGCGAAAATGTAATAGAAATAATAATTATAATAAAAATAATTATTCATAGTCAATAAAAATTTTAATTAAAATACTGTACACCAAAATAAAATTATAACAATAATAATAATAGTAATAATAAAATATAATAATAAAATTAATAATAATAACAATAATACTGTAATAAAATAATAATAGTAGTAAAGAAATACAAGAATGAAAAAAAGATAAAAAATGAGTTCTGCGACCTAGACCTATGAATTATTATTATTATTATTATTATTATTATTATTATTATTATTATTATTATTATTATTATTATTATTATTATTATATTTTGGCCCCCCCGCCAGGCCCCGATGTGGGTCAGTGATCTATGCCCGGGTGAGCTTATAGAGGAAAAAAAAAAAACTGAAAACCGAAAAATTCTGAAATCCGAAATGCCTCTGGCCCCAAGGATTTCGGATAAGGGATTGTCAACCTGTACTTTTCAACCTCTAATAAATGATTTACAGTATAATTGGTGCATTACTGGAAGACATGGGTATGAAGTCTGAGGTACATTTACAATCAAAGACAAAAGTTGTGTCGCGATTTTGTCCGAAGATTAAATATAACTCATGAAACATTATGAGAGCCCCCTACCACAAGGTAGAGCGCACCAAATATTTATCCCTTCAGCATATGTTTTCACCAAATTTCATGACACGACTTTTGTCTTTCATTGTACAGTATTTTGCTGGGAATTCTCTTCTTTTATCCTGTATAAAGAGACAACATATAAACTGAATCAATACCAAAATAAAATTGCAACAGGAAACTACAATATGGCAAAGATTTAATTGTGCATCTTTATGTCTCATTATTATTTTTAAAGTAAAGAAAATAGCTGGTTTAATTATAGTCCAGAGATTTGTCCACACAGAATCTGTTATCCCTATTTTATTATCTCAATATTCACAATCAATGAAAAAATTAAGTTTTCAGGTCATTTAAGATCAGTAACAATCATCTTTAATGTGGCAGGTCTTGTGTCTGGAATTTCTATTAAAACAGGCAACATGACCCCAAGTTAGTCTACCTAACCATACTTTCTAAAATATATTTTAAATTGGTTAGGTTAGGTTAGGTTAAGTTAGGCTTGTTACAGTAAAAGTGAGGCTTAGGGGTACAAACATCCCAATTAACTTATGGTAATGATATCAAAACATAATATTGTTCAGTACTTCCTCTCACTTAAGATACAACTTGCTGCTTTCACACTTATGATTTTTCTTACATCTTTTGTCTGTCAAGAGAACTCCAAAATCCACCTGTCATGTTTGTTTCTCTCTGTATTAGCTAATTTGTAGAGTTCTTGTTGGAATCGAATCCCATATTATGGGTTTTGATACATTTCCAATTTCTTTTGAGTAGCATTCGTTAATATGTGAACTGTATGTTCTTATACTTATTGTTCTTCCACAAGGGGTGACAAGAAAGCCATCTTGATTTCCCTTCCGTAGTTATGTCGTTTTGTGCAAGTTGCTGTTTATCGTATTGGTAGTTATCTGTCCTTGTGGAGGTTGAAGACGGTTTCCAAGAGTTCATCTGTCAACATGGACTAGTTGGCATGATGTGCAAGTGTTCAAAGTGCAGAAGACAACTGACAGTGAAGAAGAAATATATGTTTCGGTGCAACAATCAATCGTACTCTCATGTCCACAATAAATGTAAAATTGTACCATGCTGCTTCAAGGAAGTTGCTTTTATTGGTACCAGATAACAAAGTAAGTTCTCTCTGTTTAATATGACGGGGGGTCCGGAGGGCAGAGCCCCCCCCGGTGAGGAAGATAAGTAAGGTTATGTAGGTAAGTTTTGCTAGCTTGGTTAGGTCAGGTAATGTGCATTATCGTTTCCATTTTTGTGTTTAGAATCACGCACATAATATCTCCAGAAATTTTGGTGTAATTCGATATATAATTTCTGCTACTAACCGTCTCCTCCACCTTCACACAATTTGTTTTTCTTCTATCGCCCTATATAAAATGGTACGGCAGCTGTATGCAAAATGTCGATGTCTATTGGTACAGCAGCATAATGAACATGTATGGTGGACAGACAAAATAATAAGAGTTAATAGGAAGACCTTCTTTCTGACTAACCTCACCTAACCAAACTAAATTTAACCTAACATAACCTAATCTACCTTATAACCTAACCATTACTAACACAGTCCATCACTATGGCTGCCATACCTACATCCAGCATGATTTATAGTGTACGGCTGCCGTACCTGTACTTACTACGATATAAACATCATTATTGAATTACGTGGTTGGCCGCTACCGAATCTTTACCATAATCTAGACTAAAAACATTAAGTGATAAGTGGTGAAACGATAAATGAATTAAAAATTAGATATGAATAACTGGTCTCTCAGCCTTGAGGTCCAGTGAAGGTCACTCCCCCACCCCTCCCATGGGGCCATGTATTGATAAAATCTTCTATTTTTTTTTATTGTTTATTTTTATACGGAATTAGCCCACCCGGGCACAGGTCGAACAACCCACAATGGGGCCTGGGGGGCGAAAAAATAAGAACAGAAAGAAATTAAAAATAAAGAAGAAAAAGGTTATACTGTGTTAATCTACACAACGAAGATGCCGGAAAACCAGCCATTTAAAGTGAGACAGATTGTATAAGTATGGAAACACAGAAGAAGGCAGAGCATTCCACAGTTTGGCTGTGAGGAAAGAAGGATGTACTATAACCAGTTATTCTAGTGTGACCGACATCCCCAGAGAAACGGTGGGCACCGCGGGCAAGACGTGTGTTACGAGCCCACGGCCTTGCCGGCGGCACACAGGATGCCAAATCCACCGAACATTGCCCGTTAAAGTACCTGTAAAAGAGAGAGAGTGAAGCAACATTGCGGCAAAGAGAAAGGGAAGAAAGATTGTCGACTAAAGAAGGAGAGTTAATAAGACGAAATGCCTTTGATTCCATCCTATCTAATAGTTGGACAGAAGAAGAGCCACCCCAGATATGAGAGCAGTACTCCAAGTTAGGAAAAATGAATCCCTTATATACTTGAAGCAACTGCTCAGGAGTGAAGTAGCTACGGCATCTGTACAGCATTCCCAACTTTCGGGAGGCAGCTTTAGCCATGTTAAGGATATGTGATTTCCAGGACATATTGGAGGAAATGGTGAGGCCTAGCATATATATTTCAGAACTTGGCAGAATGATAGCGTCCTGAAATGTAATTGGTGGGAGATCATCTAATTTAGAAAGTGTAATTGGTAAATACTAAGTTTTATTACTATTGAATTTAACTAAGTTTGCACCTCCCCATTGAGAGATGCTGCACAGACCTGCATTGATAGAAGTAATGATATCAGCTCTAGAAACAAATCTGGTTTGAGAGTTAGGAGGAAGGGGAAAATGTGAAGAAGAGTGAAGAGTAAAATCGTCAGCATAAGAATGGATAGAATTAGTTGTAGTGTGAAGTAAATCATTGATAAAAAGAAGGAAGAGAGTAGGTGAAGGAGCAGAACCCTGTGGGACACCATTATTGGTAGAGAAAGAGCGAGAGATCGATCCCTCGAACAACAACTGCCATGGATCGGTTCTCAAGGAAGCTGGAGATTAGAAAACAAAGTGGGGGAGAGAAACCATAAGAGGGAAGTTTAGAAAGAAAAGATTTGTGCTATACCCTGTCAAATGCTTTGGAGATGTCGAGGGCCACGACGAAAGTTTCCCCATAATCCCTCGAGAGGATGACCAAAGATGGGTGCAATAGGGGAGCACATCACCAGTAGATCTCGCCTGGTGAAAGCCATACTGGTGATCTGACAATTATGTGTGTACTTTCAAACACATGAAAAAAATATGAAGGTTTCTTACGCATTATATGCTCGTGTCCCGGACCATGACCGTGTACTGCAGGGAGGTACACAAGCAGTAATAGGTAGAATGTTTTTAAATTACCACGTGCAGAACCGATACCCAAATTACCTCTAAAAAGAAAAATATAATGTTTATGAATTTAATTAGACAATTTTAAGTAATTATAAATTACGCTATATGGCAATAATGATCATAATACATAAAAATTACATAAAATAGTTCGAATGTCTTGTTCGTAAATTTCCTCAACATTATAAGCACCAGTGAAGGTGTATACGGCGGTTACTACACTAACTTCTCGCTGCTGATCACTATAGAAAACGTCACATTAAATCATAACGGCATTGACACCACCTCAGCCTGGATGGATACATTGAATTTTATTAGATGAAATCGACATACAAGTTTACATTAGTTCAGAATACAAAAAGACAGTTAAGTTATACAAAGTTAAACAGTAAGTTTATTCAACCAAGATTTGACCGCCCCATATCCCTAAGATTAGGACATCTCTTTGACCTTTACACAAGGAAAGCAAAATGTGTCACACATTAAAGATTAACTACTGTCGAAAAATAAAATAAGCAGTCTGTTTAACGTAAACGACTGGGCCTGGGAGCCACAACAGTATTGTTGATTTTGGTGTTTTTGATAATTATCTGGCGAACCCATCACACCAACTAAAATAGACAGTGCTGAAAGGATTCTTCTCTACAATAAAGGTTGGTATAGTACTGTATTAGAAAACTTATTCATGTTTTGGCTGCAACCTTAGGTAAATGCTTACAAGTGTGCCTTATGTGTTTTTTTTAGAATAAAGAGTTGTTTTGGTAGAAACATGAAAATATTGTTCTTTACCAAAATCTATTCTAGGCGTCTTCAACAATTTAATATAGCTTGCCATTACTTCCTAAACTATCAACACCAAGCTTAACCTTCCCTAGATGCCAATTTAGGTTATCAAAGTACAGGTATCTTGATAGAAAACAAAATTATAAGGCTTTGGATGTGAAAAGAGCTGACTTTAATCCCTTGTGTACGGGCCCACCCCTGGGCAGAATGAAATTGTCCGGCGTTAGTTAAATAAGGTATTAAATATGGTGTACCCACAGTGGACAGGTTAAGAAAATGTATTTCAGTAAGGCAGTCACCACCTGGCGAATGGGCTATGTTCCGGAAGCCTATAATGTCTACTCAGAAGTTTTTATGAGAAAAGTTGTAAGTAGTGAAGGAATTAAAGTGATTGGAGAAGTAATTTTAAGATATTCGATATACAATGATACCACTCTTATTACAGATAGCGAAGAAACACCACAAAAGCTGTTAAACAGATTAAAGGAGAAAGTTGAAGAATATGGGTCTAGATTTAATGCTGTTAAAAACATAAGTAATGGCTATTTCCAAAGAGAAGGTAAACCCTAAAATCAAAATTATATTAGGCAACAGGAATTGAAGCAGGTGGAAAATATTGTTTATTTTGGGAAGCAATATAAGCTGTGATGGTAGAGGTGAACTTTTTTGTGTTAATTCCTCATTTAGAAAATTACCGAATCCACCCCAGACGAATATATTCAATTTGGGCCACACATAGAAGAACGTCCCACCGTCCTTCTGTACAGCCCTACTGCTCAACTTAGTACGAAATATATTATTAGAGCGTGTTAGTTAATGGTCTGTCTATGCGAACTGAAGAGTGTAATTCAGTTTAGTTATATACAGATGAATATCTACATATGACTACTAACATAACGACTAAAAAAGATGTTACTCTTCACAACGTGTCATCTCTAGCCTACACTAACTTGGGAGGTACAGTATACAGTGTAGCGAGGCAGCCACTGTCTCCCTGAAAATTTTAAATTTTTCCAAGACGATATTATGTTGACAAACTTGCTAGAGAATACAGTCATTTTCCAGAAGCTGTGTCTGACTCAGAGGTTCTTCATCCTTAAGTTGCCAATAACTACGTCACATACTGAAGGTGATCTTGACACAGTCATGCTAACATTATTCTTCACTTTACTCCATTAGCTTCTATTTACATATAAAGAGTGAGTGAGGTAGACAGCACACAATGTTTTGGAAAAGTTCAGCACTACCGATAGTGATGAATATGTAACCCAATATTTTTGATGTTATGGATTTTTCTATTGAGTTTCATACGTTGCATATTTTACACGCGAAGTCCTGATATTTTTATGATTTAAAGTGGCAGCACCCGGGGAGAGAAGGACCCAGGGAGGGAAGGGCCCGGGGAAGGCGGGACCAGGGAGGGAAGGACCCAGGGAGGGAAGGACCCGGGGAGAGAAGGACCCAGGGAGGAAGGACCTAGGAGGGGAAGGACCTGATTAGGAGGAAGGACCCAGGGAGGGAAGGACCTGGGAGGAAGGAAAGGGGAGGGAAGGACCTAGGAGGGAAGGGCCTGGGAAGGCGGGGACTAGGAGGAAGTTAACTTAGGAGGGGAAGGACCTGGGGAGGGAAGGAAAGGGGAGAGAAGGACCTAGGGAGGAAGGCCTGGGGAAGGCGGGACCAGGGAGGAAGGACCAGGAGGGAAGGACCTGGGGAAGGCGGGACCAGGGAGGAAGGACCCAGGAGGGGAAGGGACCCGGGGAGGAAGGGAAGGGGAGGAAGGACCAGGGAGGGAAGGGCTCCGGGAAGGCGGGACCAGGGAGGAAGACCCAGGAGGGAAGGGACCTGGGAGGGAAGGGGAAAGGAGAGAAGGACCAGGGAGGAAGGCCCGGGGGAAGCAGGACCAGGGAGGAAGGAACGAGGGAGGGAAGGACCCGGGGAGGGAAGGGAGGGGAGGGAAGGACCCAGGGAGGAAGGCCCGGGGAAGGCGTGGGACCAGGGAGGGAAGGACCCAGGGGAGGGAAGGACCCGGGAAGGAAGGGAAGGAGAGAAGGACCTGAGGGAGGAAGGGCCTGGGGAAGGCGGGACCAGGAGGGAAGGACCCAGGGGAGGAAGGACCTGGGGAAGGTGGACCAGGGAGGAAGGACCCCAGGAGGAAGGACCCGGGGAGGGAAGGGAAAGGGAGGGAAGGACCCAGGGAGGAAGGGCCTGGGGAAGGCGTGGACCAGGGGAGGAAGGACCCAGGAGGGAAGACCCGGGGAAGGCGGGACCAGGGGAGGAAGGACCCAGGAGGGAAGGACCTGGGAGGAAGGGAAAGGGGAGTGGAAGGACCCAGGGGAGGAAGGCCCGGGGAAGTGGACCAGGGGAGGGAAGGACCCAGGGAGGGAAGGGACCCGGGGAGGGAAGGGGAAGGGAGAGAAGGGACCAGGGAGGGAAGGCCTGGGGAAGGTGAATTAGGGAGGGAAGGACCCAGGAGGAAGGACCTGGGAGGGAAGGAAAAGGGAGAGAAGACCCAGGAGGGAAGGGGCCTGGGAAGGTGGGACCAGGAGGGAAGGACCCAGGGAGGGAAGGCCTGGGAAGGTGGACCAGGGAGGAAGGACCCAGGGAGGGGAAGGACCTGGGAGTGGGAAGGACCCAGGGAGGGAAGGGACCTGGGGAAGGAGGGACGAGAGGGAAGGCCCAAGGCACCAGGGAGGAAGGACCCAGGAGGGAAGGGGACCCGGGAGGGAAGGACCCAGGAGGGAAGGACCTGGGGAAGGAGGGGACCAGGAGGAAGGGCCTGGGAAGGAGTGGACCAGGGGAGGAAGGACCCAGGGGAGGAAGCGGACCTGGGCAGGGACCAGGGAGGGAAGTGACCCACGGAGGGAAGGACCTGGGAGGGAAGGACCCAGGAGGAAGGACCTGGGGAAGGAGGGACCAGAGGGAAGGACCTAGGGAGAGAAGGACCTGGGGAGGGAAGGACTCGGGGAGGGAAGGACCAGAGGGAAGGGAAAAGGAGGAAGAACTGGGGAGGAAAAATCCAGGAGGAAGGATCCGTGCAGAGAAGTATCCAGGAGGAAGGACCCGGGGAAGGAGGGACCAGGGAGGAAGGATCCAGGAGGGAAGGAAGGGCGGGAAGGACCTGGAAGGAAGGAAGGAAGGGACCTGGGAGGAAAGATCCGGGGAGGGAAGGACCCGGGTGGGCATGACTAGGAGGGAAGGACCCGGAGTGGTTTATGTCTCAGGGAGGAAGGACCCGGGATGGTATGTGACTCAGGAGGGAAGGATTCTAAAAAAAAAACTGGGTATTACTGGGAGCAATTTTCAATTTCGAACTATAATCTCCTTCCCCCACCTCTAATCTCTTTTCACCCTCCTTTCACAACAAAAGAAAACCCGGGGAACAGTAAACAAGTGACATGGTATGTTTGGCAAACAATGAAGAAAGAGGATGATTTCGCCGTTTACAGCGGCTACTTTATTGTGCACCCCACATTCACCCTGAGAGCGGGAGCGCAAAAGGATTACAGAGTAGAGGCGCGACGGTGGATGGAGGAGCCTTGGGAAAATCCTGATGCTTGCTTCCTTGCGGCTGCAGGGGGACCCTGCGGTGACGGTCTCTCGCACACCCCAGTCCCTCCACCTGACGAGGCTTAACAAGGCACACTCACCTATTATAGGACACAGTGTGTTGTAAGGGTCACACCACAGTAACATCAGTGTGCTGTAAGGTCACACCACGGTGCAACATCAGTGTGTTGTGGGCGTCGCCACCACAGTAATCAGTGTGTTGTAAGGTCACACCACAGTAACATCAGTAGTTGTAAAGGTCACACCACAGCAACATCAGTAAAAGGTAAGGTCACACCACACAGTAACATCAGTGTGTTGTAAGGTCACCCACAGCACATCAGTGTGTTGTAAGGTCACACCACATAGTAACATCAGTAAAAGGTAAGGTCGTACACCACAGTGCAACATCAGTGTGTGTTGTAAGGTCACACCACAGTAACATCAGTGTGTTGTGGCAAGGTCACCCACAGTAACATCAACAGTGTGTGTTGTAAGGTCACACCGCTGTGCAACATCAGTGTGTTGTAAGGTCACACCAGCAACATCAGTGTGTTGTAGTCACACCACAGTAACATCAGTGTGTTGTAAGGTCACACCACAGTAACATCAGTGTAAGCAAGGTCACACCACAGTAACATCAGTGCTGTAAGGTCACACCCACAGTAACATCAGTGTAAGTTCTAGTAA